AAAAACTCTTTTAAATTTTATTAATGTTTTAATGATATATCTGTATTGATAACAAATTCATTGAGGTTTTTTAAGTTTATTTTCGTAGGGGTTGACTTTATTTTTTTTATACATCGTAGTATTATGCGAACAACGAAGCATACAAAGTGGTCCCCTGTCAATAAAAGATTGGGAACCACTGAACTAGGTGAAATAATATGAAAATATCATTAGAGACTTATTTACTTTTATTACTTAATCAATACTTACTTATTATTGTTTAAGGTGTGAAAGTAAATTAAAGTAAGCTCCATTCTTTAGTCAACTGTCAATGAGTCATATGACATATAATTTTTGAGTCACCATGAAATATGTAATTACTAAATCCGTCTCACCTTAAGCAATACGTCCTCTTTAAGAAACGCTCCCATTTTTTATCTGTTGCAATAATCTTATTTATCCGTACACCTAATTTATCATATTTTATTACCGAGAAGATTATAAAGTTTTATTGGAATTAAGGAAAATAATTATTCTGCAGTAGGTATAGTAAATCAGAATTAACCTCTCGTTTTGTCATAACAATACAAAGTGAGTTTTATAAATCATTTAGTATCAAACGCAATAGTAAACCGGAATAGGATATAAAAGAGGTCGTATAGCAGGAACTTACCTTATTATGGCATATGTGTAAAGAAATATTTCCCTTTATTTATATAACTATTTACACTACTAAGTCTTGAATTTAAATGAAACTAATATTATACGGATGTACTACGCGATTATTATTTTTGATTATAAACTACATACTCCCGACGTTTCGATTACTTTACAGCAACCGTGATCACGGTACACGGATCACATACGAAAAATATTAGTTTCATTTAAATGAATACTCCCTTCAAATCTTAGACCTCATTAAGACTTGAATTTTCAGAGTACTGTGAGCTTAGCAATCTGTGGCGTAAAATAACATTCGAAGCTTTTCCATATTAACTTTAAGTAACCCAAATAATGTTGCAACGTTACCCGTTTGTAGGTTTATGAATAAAAAGCTTTAGTCACTTCGTAGGTAGTGACAATACCCAAATGTACAAAGTTTATTGGAAAAAAATCAAGATACTTTTATTGATTCATATTTTTTTTATTTCGACTCGCGAGATAACTGACTTTTGCTGCACAGCGTAGATATAATTGAGAAAAGTATATAAAGTGCTAAATGATTCTAAAAAAAAAATATTTGCAGAATAAAAATAATGTAGATGTTATTTTCGTTTTCTATTTGTCATACTCTATCAATATAACAGATATATCTTAAGATCAATGATAAGTTCATTCTACCTCCACACGTCTCGTAATCTCGAGATGAGATTTCATCGTATCTCGAGACTTGAAAGTTGATAATGATGTTGAAACTTCACAAGTGGTTGAAATACAAGTAGTGAAAATGTTCGGGTCGCGGTACAATTCGGGTTTGGCTCTAAGTGTGTTTCCCTTCAACCCGCCTCTTGCTACGGGCTTGCTGACAGCCAATCTGTTCTTAAGTGCAACTGTGGACTCACCTCCAAGGACGCATTTTATGGTATTGTTGTAAATTATCAGATATCTATTGCAATGTATTCTCTGATTATTTGTCGCTTATCGCTAACTTTAAGACTGACTATTTTGAGGTTTTACAGGCGTGGTTATCGAGATTAGTCAGTTTAAATTGATTAACAGATAGGTACATGTCAGTAGGGGATTTTATGTTTAACAACAGTTTTAATTCATAAACATTGATTAGCTAATATCTAATTTATATATTTTTTACTAAATTTTATTAAATCCTTATTATAATGAGTCTATTCTCGTAATAAGTTGAAAAGGCCTGGTTATATAGTTTTAACTAGTCTGCAAAAGTGACTATGGCGACATTAGCAGGTTTTTTGCTCATTATAGTCACAAAAAGGTTTCCATGTAACCAGCGACATTTATCTTCTTCCTATTGGAAACTTTATGAAGAGTCACTGACTTCCTACTCCGGTTTAATCATCTCAAAATGAACATATACATATTATATTTGCTAAACAATTTATAGTTTCATCCACTGACGTTCCTGAAACTATAGCTATTCTTTTCGAATAAGAAAAATAGACCTTACTAATTAAAAAGAAACAAAGACTAAGTATTTTTTTATTAAAAGTTTAATGATATATTTATTCTCACTTTGTATCTCACGGATACTATAGTTCATCACCTCTACAGTTCAAATATTTTATTTACATGTTATATTTAGTTAAAGTCTTAATGTATTTTTATTGACTCTTAAATTTAAAAACATGCATCGACTATTTGTCTACCATAAATATTTCTCTTAAATTTATTTATAATTTGATGAATATCATTGATCAAATTTAACAAAAATATTCGACATAGGCTTTCCCAAATTGGGAGTCGTTCTTATAAATCCTCTTTCAAAATATGTGTAATTACTTTACGCAATATTATAATGGAAATAGTATTATTCAAACATTTTGTAAATCTATTCACCGACATTGGATATAAATCTCCAAGACACTTATCTAGATTCTGTTCAGTAACAGATAAAAATAATGTACATTCCCTGTCTTTATGAATAATGCATCACCGACCATCATCTAATACGACGCTCCTTGAATGTATTTACACGACTTCAAAACAAAGAAATACTCAAATTCCTTAGATTATACATATACATGACGAAAATAATTTAAATTAAGCTTTTAAACTATCGCAAAACATAAGAAAGTTTAAAAGACTAAGCTGATGAAATTCATATTGAACGGATATTACATATTCTTGGAATTTTCCTAATCGAATGAATTACGTAGTGGCTGGAAATCTTTACAATAATTATACACTTCAATGGTACAATAAATAACAACTAGTATTGAAAACCACAATGGTATGAAAGGAAACGTTAGTCAAATGTTTAATAATTTCAAAAGAATTTTCAGTAACAACATCCATTGTTATTGTTACAAACGTGTTTATACTCTCACACACACATACACGTATGACTACTTGAGTGTGTGTGTGTTTGCAAACAAATAACTTACTCTTATACTCACTATAACGTCATAAAATATGTACACATTTTTTACTAAAAATAAGACTATCTTGAAATAAAACTAAGTTTTTTGGATATGGCTACGCGATTTATTATTTCATTATACAATATTTTTGTTTTTTGATTACATCAACATGAAAGTGTAAGACGCTTTCATCGGTTGCTGTAAAACAATCGAAACGTTTGTATAATGTAAAAATGGAATGATAAAAATTAAAAAGGTTTTGTCGTATTCGAAAAACGAAACTTTAATTTTAAATATGTACTCCCGAAAATGAAATAATAAAAATAAACACGTAAAATTCTTTTCACACTTCTTATATATGTTATTTAAAATATTATACATAGAATTACATTCAATGTTTGAAATTATAGCAGTGACGTAATCCTTGCTACCATAAATTTTTAATGATACTCCATAAGCTGTAAACTTGCTTATTGTTTATTCAAATGCAATCTATTTTATCGAAACACGCAAAAATAAAATAAAAATTCAAAATTATAATAAATGTCGTCATAACAATTTTATGCGCAGTTTCTGAACAAGAATATTTTTTTATTAGTGGAATATGTCAATAAGACAACGAAGGAAGGCTTCTGAAAAAAATACAAAATCTATCGTATACATTAATATTAATTTAGGAGCAGTAATTGTCACTTCTAAATATTACTTCGCACTTACATTATATTATAATATAAATAAAATTCAACAATTATTTAACAATGACCAAAGAAACGTCGTCATAGACTAATTATTATAAATTCTTGACAAACGACATTTACGTAAAATTAGATAAACGAACCCATTTTTTATTATATTTTTTAAAACTATCATTTCAAAATAACATTGATAAATATATAAAATGATTCAACATTTATTTGTTCTTTATCTAGCTATAAAATATTATTAGAGTATGAAAGACAAATCTATGAGATAACAAAATGTAATAAACATTTAATGTTTTACTGCAGTTGTTATATAATTCTTATCTAGAACACTATTACTTTTATGTACCAATAAAATTATCAATAAAAAGTAAATAACAGCCTTGTATTATAAAGAACTTGAATTTAAATTAAATAAGATTATCAATTATTTTATAAATGACAGAACTGCGTCAAGCGCCTCCATATAAAAAACAATGTTCACACGTTTTATTTTGTGACGTCAACGTAGGAGATAATATAAAAGTTATCTTTATCTTTTGATGGCATTTGTTTTAAGTTCTGTGGAATAAATATAAATTCACTATTCATAGTTATAAATATTGTTATATTTATCAATAGATTTATATTATAGAACATAATTAAATATGAATCATGTATATTCAGCCAAAGTTACTAAAAAAATTCGGAAATTGTGGTTACTTTGCGGCATATACACCTTTTATATGTTCGTCGCTTACTGCTATATATAGCATTTAGTAGCTGTTCTGAATAATCAAAGTCAAGGTTGAAAACTTATGCAAGTGATAAGTTCACTCATTAGTAAGTAGATACCTACAAGTCACAAATGAATACAGATGAGTATTCGTGTTAATATTCTTGTAAAATGATAGTAATCAATACTTTTGTATAAGTGGAACACTAAGTTAACGTAAAACAAAGAATTCAAACATTTTAGTTTAACGTTATAGATATTGCAAAATCTTGATTGTTCAATCCTAGAAATTGGTAATATTTTTAATAATAATATTGAAACAAAGTATTTATCGATTGAAACAAATGTTAGAGCGTCTTGTAGATAATTAGGATTTTAAGCGCAGCAATACTAATAGATGTCAGATAGACATTGACAGCTCACAGTTGACAGATGTCTACGTTTTTGTATCTCTTACGTTAAAATGAGAAACTGCGTTGTTTACGTACACAACAAAAGAAAACAACTTATAGTGTCACACGTTGCTCTTGGTGTAGTCGCATTACCTAAAAGATGAGGTCTTCAATATACCGTCGCGAAAGATACGATAGTTCGGAGACCGAGCCGTTGCTTCCCGCTATTCCGGTTTTAACACAAAATAATGAGGTTTGAATAATTGAATAGTTGTATTATTGTTTCTTGTACTACATGATCACAGTTACCTTGACTAAGATATGATTACTTCATTTTACAATTTTTATGTGATGACCTAATTTCACTTTCTTGTTTTTTTTTTGCTTTTATATATAAAACAGATATCGTTACCATGTGAAAAAGAAGTACCCTCAAGTTAATATAAAAAATATAACATTAATTTTAACCATGCTATTGGTGGTATGTCAGTGTTATTTGATATTTATATTCAGATAATACTTAAAATGAAGCAAATTTAAAACATCCCTTTTAACTATTTCAACCTTTTTAGCATTATATAAAATGTCATATTAACTCATTTCAGGGAACAGGCAATAACGGTATGGCAGAGGTGGGGGTTTCACAGTCGGCTCTCGTGGAGCCTCGAGAGGAAGGCGGACGGAAACTACCACAGTATATAGCAGCTTTATCAGGTTCGACAATAGTTTCTTATATTAAATAAACTAACCAAATTTGGTTAGAAACCTGACAAGTACTATTGACTGAGTTATATGTACTTTCAAAAAGTATTAAACACCACTGATAAGTGGTGAAAACATGGAAACCTGGACTTATAATGTCAAATTATTAGTTTGAAATCTCCAAATCTACCTTGAGTGATTATGGTGATTAATGCATAAATTAATTAATAACAAGTGAAAACTTAGCTGATATATGTTATTTTGTATATTCATATCCCATAAGTTTATCTTATCATTTGTTTCCCTAAAATAAAATAAATGCTCTAACCTTCTCCATGTGAGAAAGAAGCCTTTGCTTAGCATTGGGGCACCATTATGCCGATGATGATAAAAATATCTCCAAAAAGAGAGTTTAATTTGTTACATGAAAATCATAATAATAATTAATATATAAAAATGACTGATTACAAATTCAAATGTAATATTTTGTTTATTTTAAATGTAACAGTATTTATGGTCAGACTATGTATATATATAAATAATATTTATATGCCGCAAGGACACACATGTTTACATGAGTATAAATAAAAAAGTAAAGTATTATATGAATAATAGAATATATTATATAATCCATATTCATGTTTTTGCTTTCATATACATATATTTCTATTTTTTATTTCAATTAATATAAATCAACAGAAAATATTCCTATATCATGACTTATTAAGAATCAATACATACATTTGTTTCTTAATTTATATGTACTTATTCTTTTTTCTTTAATTTCAGCGACCCTAGGGGCTTTGGCTGCGGGATCAATGCTAGGATGGTCATCGCCAGTTGTATACAGAATAACTCAGGCAAATAGCACCGAATATGACTTTGATGTTTCCAGTACTCAAGGAGATTGGGTTTCCTCGCTGATAAATCTTGGAGCAGCAGCGGTTTGCTTTCCCATCGGACTCATCATGGATGCCATCGGCCGGAAAACAACCATGCTGTTGTTAGTCATACCTTTCACTGTTGGTTGGCTTTTGATAACCCTAGCAACAAATGTAGGAATGCTTATGGCAGGAAGGTTTATCACTGGTGTGGCTGGTGGTGCGTTTTGTGTTACCGCCCCCGCATATACTAGTGAAATAGCCCAGGATTCTATAAGAGGCACCCTGGGAAGCTTCTTCCAGTTGATGGTCACAGTTGGTATATTATTCGCTTATACGGTAGGCAGTTCCACTTCGGTGTTGGTATTCAACATCCTGTGTACATTGATTCCCATAATTTTCGGTGTAATATTCTTCTTCATGCCCGAAAGTCCTAAATATCTGGTCAACAAAGGAAAATTTGATGATGCGAAAAATTCTTTGATTAAATTACGCGGCAGCAGTTACGACGTCGACAGTGAATTGAACTTACTGCGGGAGAAATATGAAGAGTCTTTGAGTAACAACGTGTCATTCTTGTCAGCGATTACTAAAAAGACGGCGTTAAAAGCTATCCTGATATGTTACACTCTCATGGTCATACAACAATTGTCGGGTATTAACGCGGTGATTTTCAACACATCACAAATATTCGACAGCGCTGGCGCGACAATACCGGCTGCGATCGCGACGATTATTATCGGCGTCATCCAAGTGATTGCTACTTTAGTATCCAGTTTGGTTGTTGACAAGTTAGGCAGACGTATACTTCTTCTATTCTCTGTACTAGTTATGTGCTTATGTTCCACGGCTCTCGGTGTGTTCTTCTTCTTGAAGGATACTCACGGCGGAGAGTCTTCGATAGTTCAAGCGATATCGTGGCTACCGCTGTTATCTCTGTCTCTTTTCATTATTGCTTTCTCTCTCGGTTCCGGACCGATCCCGTGGATGATGGCCGGTGATTTGTGCCTGATCGACATCAAAGCCTTCGTTAGTTCAACCGCTGGTACCCTTAACTGGTTGTTAAGTTTCACGGTGACCCGAACCTTTAACGCTCTAAACACTGCCATCGGTCCCGGACAAGTCTTCTGGATGTTTGCCGGTATTATGGTAGCAGCTTTCATATTTATATTCTTCGTCGTACCTGAAACTAAAGGCAAGAGCGTCGATGAAATTCAACTGTTGTTGGGAGCGGAACAACAGCCACAGACTAACGGAGAAAAAAAATAGACAATCATAGAGACTGATGGTATTATTAAGGTTTTATGTAGTCTATGGTCGATGTGGTTGGTAATTCTAATTGTCTTTTATGTAGGCTTCCTAAATTACTACATTACCAAAGATTATTATTTCGTCGATGAAAAGATACTACAGGATATTAATTTTAAATTTTAGTATTGGAGGCAGCTATTTTTTATTAACTATTGGAACGTGATATTGTTAGCCGATAAGTTTTAATGAATGAAAAGAATTTTCAGCCACTTTCATAGACAGTAAAATATCGGTTGCCATATCAAAATTTTATCGCAGCTTACATTATATTATACCTTATTTATTGTAACTTTGTATTAGAACTAGTAAGGCTAGTTATTGTTGTTAGCAAATTGTAATACAGTAGATATAAGTTTTTAATGTAAATTTATTAATTGCAATATTATTATAGATAACAAGACTTGCAGCTATTATATATGAACAGCCTTATGCGTTAAGAGCAATGTTGATTATTTATGTGATGACAATTATTTATTTTAAAAGTGTAACTCTATTATTGTATCTCTGAACTATTTTTTGTTTTTATATACTTTGGAAAATACTAGCAATTTTCTGCATATTGTTGAGAATATGTTTTAGAATAAATAAATGTGTTAATATTGATATTTACATCTTTTTACTCTTAATATTTTTTCCCCTACATTACCTTAGATAAAATATCTGGTTACAGAGTTTTGCTCGGTATTTAGGAATTATTAGTATTTATTTTGTGTTTTTTATTTATTTCTTTTAGGCATTTTTAAGTAAATACGTTAAGAAGACAAAACAATATAAAATATAAATCAACAATTAATTTCTTAGTCTGACCTCAAAACAAACATTGACTTCCTGGTATTTAATAACTCCATCTGCTGGTGGGTCGTGAAAGCAATTAGTAAAAGCAATTAACAAAAAGAAGTATTTCTTTTCGCCAAAAGATGTCAGGAAGAGTCATATTTTTAACGCCTCCTTTTTGTTATTATGTTTTTTAATAAAATAACATTTTCTAAAAATTATTCCTAGTTAGATTGATTTATCGCCCCCCAAAATAGGATATATCCTAAATTTCTTGAAAATCGTTGGAGCCGATTCCGATTATATATAAATATAAACACGAGAATTGTTCATTTATATGTAATATGAGATAAGATTTGCTTTAATCAAATTTATTTGTTAAGGCAAAATAGGTATGACGAAGGCACCATAGTTAAAGAAAATTATTTCTTCTTAGACAAAAATTTGATCTTATCATATTTCTGTACATTATGTGAAGCATGATGGTAAACTCATCTAGAAATTTAAAATCTCGTCACATAGTTCAGTATAATATAGACACACGACATTGGCGAAATCTATAAGGAAATGCCACTAACTAAAGAAGAAGAAATTTGAAAGCTGTTGACGGGTTTTATTTCAGATTCACTCTTTTTTCTAAGTACCCATTCGCTTTGACGAAGATATATAAGTTATAACATCTAATACAACTCGAACATATGACACCATATTTATATTTATTGCGCACTCGTAATGACAATTTTTTTCAAAAAATTCCAATATTTATGTTTGTGTATTTGCTTGTTATACGAAAACAACAAAAGTAATGAAATAAATGTACCCGTATTGTATTTTATCATACAGTTGAAACAAATAAGAACTTTACTATGCGATTGTTGTCGTACATCAGACAGTCCCCTTTATAAGTTACCAGATGTCAAACTATCATGAGGTTGTTTGTTGTTTCGCTGATACGAGTTACGAATCTACTTTATCTTAGTTAATAATCTTCTCGAATTACAAAATACAATCAATCTTCATAAAACTGCAATACATATGTGGGGGGCGTATAAAATAATGAAACTAGACCTTTTCAATAGAAAAACAATTTATTGTAAACAACATGCACTTGCATTAAAAACATTATGATTATTTTTATTTAAAAATAACCTAATATTTAAAAGTTTATACCTATATATTTATTACTCACAACTAATGAGTATAGAAAATATAAATTTTCTATATGCTACTGCATACATATATAAAATTAAATCATATATTGTTTATTAAAATATTAAACTGAACATGATCATTCCATGACAACTTTTTATCATCGTTTATTATATTTTATTATACCTCTTTGGTAGTAATGGTAAAGGTGATTAACACATCGTACAATTATTATCTAAAATATAAGTTATATTCAAATATTCATATAATAGTCTACTTTACACATAACATATCAGTTCTTTTGCCTTATCTGATATTTAAACTTGACTACCAAAACATTGTTTGAATACCTTGTCTAAAATAAATTTAACGTGGAGGTACCGCCTCCTATTTTTGAATACGCGCTTCTATAGACATTGCAACAGCACAAAGAATTCATTATAGCGTTAAGCGAAGACGAACTATGAGTTCTGTAGAGGCCAGAGGAAACCTCTTCAATGCATGTCTCCCCAATGAATTTCTGAAGATCGTTTTTAGGGAATCCCTCCTTATAGTACTGCTTGATAGTGTCGTAAGCGTCCATAATGACGGATATGAACAAACTAAGCACTACGTATATATACAGACTAATGAAGGAATAGAGGTACACGCGGCTGAACCACCACAGCATTGGCGATTTTTTTGACATGATCGAGAATGTCGCAAACATGTCGTCACCGTTTATCAATGAGAATAAACACTCAGAAGTCGTGGCCAGTGACCGGAATTTCATATGATAGGGACCAAGAACAAGCCAGCCGCAGAACGTAAAACCGGCATAAAGAAGAAGGGCACAACAAGAAAATCTAAATATTTTTGGTGCAGCTTTCTTCAAAGTTAATATGACAACATTATAAGTTTTAAAGAATCCTAGATATCTGAGTACTCCAAACCAGACTAGGAGGTTTCCCACACCCAGGAATAAGGAGCACACATTCCACTGGTCATTTGTGAATTGGTTGCGTTCAATTTGTTCTTTGATAGCTGATCCCATGATTATAAGGATATCATTAATAATAATCATTATATACCAAATATTCAAGAATTCCAAACGACCATCTAAACTGAGCTTCTTATTATAAGCTTGATGAAAGAATTGTACTGTCAGTTCTTTTAGCAGTTGAGCTCGGTAAATGGCACGGCTGCATAGAATCAATGAGGCACTGCATATAAGTATGACAAATATGTTTAAAATGCTTCTGAGTATTTGATCTATCTCATTGTTGGTGATGTATGATTTGTCACCCTTACAAGTCAACTTGTAAGGGTCTGCTTCCAGTGTTAGAGACATCTGGCCGTCGTGGTCTTCATTGTCAAATATTATTGCTATATCAAATCGAAAACAATCAGGCGGAGTAATTGGTCCAGCGGCCCTGAAATTTATTGTCTTCAATGAAAACATCAATTCTGCCCTCACTAATGCAGCAAAATCAACACTCAGACCACTATTTTCTATAAATTCTTGAGATTTGAACAGCTTGTTATCAGAATTAGTGAAGTTGATGCAATTGTATATAATTTCTGAATTGAATTCATAGCTTTCATTAAAACCATTGATGATGCCCTTTTTAAAATAATAGGTGCAGAACTGTGGGTCAGTTTTATTATTATCTTCATTATTGTAGGAATATGGGCCAATGGCATTTGTCAAATTCGAGAATCCAGCATATGCATAATCCAGAGCACTATAGAATTCATCAACTTTATAAACAGCAAGAGGTCCAGCCCCAGGTGGGTATGCATTTATCTCCCTCGTTGAATCCCAGCCAAGCAAAAACAAATGGGAGAAACTGATTCTGTTATCCCAAGTATAATTCACATGGTTGTATCTATTATGAGCGAAGAGGCAGAGCTGAAGCGTCACTAAAATTATTTTTATGACCTGTACCATGAATTTGTAAGGAAATTTACGTTTAGCTTGCCATTTTTCTATTGGGTTCATAAAGAAAAACTGCAATTTGCGTCGCATTTTTACTTCCATTTGAGCGAAAACTGCAGCGTTGGGGGATGGCCCTGGAGTTTGACCTTGGACATTTTCATGATTTCCGCAGTTTCCTTCCCTGACGTGGACGTCGTCTAAATCCGACGATTGTTGTCCTTCCGATGAAGACATCCCACCGTTCGTCTTTGTATATTCAATCACAATTTTTTATATATACGTGAAACATATATAATTTTGTGAACAATCTTGTATATCGGTTTTGATTGAATATTATTATTTCGTTTGAATACTTAAGTAAAACACCACGCACAGCTTAGAAGTAACCTTGATTTACTGGACAGACTTTTATTTTTAGCACTTCTCTTTGTTGTGTAGTTGTTTGGTAGGTACAGGTCAGGTTTTCTTCCGTCACTGTCATATGATCACAATACGCAAGTTCGTCTATAATACTGTATATATTTGACAGTTACCTACATACTTGATAAACACATTGTGTACAATCAAATGCACTTACTGTCAAATTTATGTCAACTTTTGTTTTCAGATTGCCAGATTAAGAAAATTATGGAGTTTATTTATATAAAAGAAATATAACATAGTCTCAGATGAGCTTTTCCTTTCTTAAACATGTTAAATTTATATGCCTAACATCAAAGCCTACGATTAAAAATAATTGTGCTAGATTCGTTTCAAACTTAAATGTCGATGCAGCCTTGAATCAACTAGAGAATTGTAATATGTCTCCATTACTTTCTTTATTTAACCCTAATGAAATTGCTCATAAGTTATTAAATGAACTTATTTTAGTTATTCAAAATAATACAATTACTACTAAAATTCCTAGAAATAAAAGAATTATAAAACCATGGATAACTCCTGGATTACTTAAATGTATTAAGAACAGAAATAAAATGCAATATAAACTTAAAAAGAACCCACTTGATAATATACTCCAAATAACTTACAAAAGCTACAGAAATGTTTGAATTGATCTGTTAAAAAAGTAAAACGTAACTTTGAGCGCGCGCAACTTAAAAAATCTATTAGAAACCCAAAGGATATGTGGAAAAATCTTAAATCCATTGCTTACATAACCAAAAAAATAATCAAAACTGTACAGAACTATTAAAAATAAAGCCATTAATTGGTGAGTCATTAGATACATAGTATCAATGATTACTTTTCAAAAATTGGTAAAAATTTAGCTGAAGATATAATAAATAAGCAATCCACCAGAACATACAACAATGCTACTTATAGGTTTTCAACATCTAGTGGTTTACCGAGTTCTTTCGGTTTAGTTCATACTGATGAGTCCGAAGTAGAATCTATACTTGTGAATTTTAAGAATAACTGTGCTACTAGATGGGATAATATACCTACTAATTTTATTAAGCTTGCTAGACATATTCTTGTCCCAATTATAACACATCTTTGTAACACCTGTTTTGATAAGGGCATCTTCTCAGACATTTTTAAGTTAGCTGTGATCAGGGCCGTTTTATCCATTAGGCATTATAGGCAACTGCCTAGGGGCCCTGCCACGTTCAGGGGCCCCTGTGCTACAGGGAAAAGACTGGGCAATGTTTCTTAAACAGTAAAAAATTAATTTGAAAATTTGCTCTGTACATTACATCGACGCTATTTTAGTACATTTCGGAACGCATTCCTTATTAGATATTATTATTATTATAGTTTAAAAGTTTATAACGCAGTAATATAATTGCAAGCAATTTTATCGCGGTAATTTAATTAAAAACGCTCAAAACTCTTTGTTGTGAATGCACACTTACTATACTGGTACCTACTAAGTATGTATATTCTATGGCCAAGCTACTTTCATAAGGTTAAATTCATTGGCTATAATGGCAATTGAAAATGACGTGTTGGAGAAGATTACCTTTCAGGATATCTTGAACGATTTTGTATCAAAAAAAGTTAGAAGAGTTAATATTTAAGCTATGTATGTTTTTTTTAAATGCATAAATAAACATTCTGTTCATTTGATTCAACATTTTTATTGAATAATATGATGATATACCCAGGTTAGTAAAAAACGGTGTAATTTTGAATTTTGTTGTGTTAACGAAAAAATTAGAAGAGGGTAGGGGGCCCTGGATGAGCATTGCCTAGGGGCCCCGACAGGCATAGCCCGGCCCTGGCTGTGATACATCCTATTCACAAGAGTGGGAGCAGAGACGTGATTGGAAATTTTAGACCAATATCAATATTGCCAACACTATCTAAAATTCTTGAAAAGTTAATTAATAAAAGGCTAATCAAATACTTAGAGAAGATGCGGTCATAGAACTTTCGAACGAAGAAGTGAGAATACTTGACAACGGCCAGAAATGTTTAGGCAAATTCCTGGACTTGGCCAAGGCGTTTGATACCGTCTCTGTTCCTATTCTCCTGAATAAGCTTGGAAAAATTGGAATACGAGGTACACAACTGTCACTTTTTGAAAGTTACTTAAAATATAGAAAACAGCGTTTCAAAATTGAAAATAACTATAGCCAAGATGCACTAATTGAAAGAGTTAGAGATGGTGCGACTGCATCGAAGATGATCTTAAGGCTCTGAAATGTTTTACGAACTGGAGAAGGACAGCCAAGGATCGTCGCGCATGGCAGTCTATTGTGGAAGAGGCCAAGACCCACAAAGGGTTGTAGCGCCGAAGAAAGTAAGTAAGTAAGATGCACTAATTATTACATATGGTGTACCACAGGGCAGTGTCCTTGGGCCGACCCTATCTATACTAATATTATAAAGCTGAAGAGTTTGTTTGAAAGCGCTAATCTCCGAAACTATTGGTTTGAATTGAATAATTCTTTTTGTGTTGGATAGTCCAGTTATCGAGGAAGGCTGTGGGCTATATAACATCACGCTACGACCAATAGGAGCAAAGATATAGTGGTGAATGTGTAAAAAACGGGAGAAATTATTTCATCTTTGAAGCCTTCCGTTGCGTGCGCCGTGAAAACGGTTCAAGATACACAAAAAATATGTATTAAAGAATAATAGCTCTTTTAATGATCTAAAAAACAGTCAGCGACAGTGTATGTCTATCTTTTAAGATTAACTCACAAAAACCGTTTTTATGGTACCTAATTTGGTCGAAATAATTTGTTTAAGTTGTATCAACATAATGATATTAATCTTTATTCAAATAAACAAATAAATAAGTTGTTGGTTAAGAGTACGTCATTGTGAATTTAAAAAAACAGGTTTTATACTGAAAAATCTACGGGCACTCGACATTTCCGAAAACCCCGCAAGAACGGGAACTATGTGGGAAGAACCAAAAATCTGCCGGAAGTCACTATTCCACGCGGACGAAGTCGCGGCAAAAGCTAGTATGTTTATACTAGCTTTTGCCGCGACTAGTTATATATAGTTTTATACTAATATAGTTTTATATTCAACAACGAAACTATTAACAATCAGACAACTTTACGTTCTACAAACTGTGTTAAGAGTTCATAAGTCAATAACATATAATAAACCAGACAAGAATAGAAGACGAAATCATGAAGTGATTAATTTACAACATTACAACACACAATTTGCTAAAAGACAATACAACAAACAGTCTTCCTTCCTTTATAATAAAATAAATAGGATTATTAACATTTCTGACCTTCAATATCATCAGTGTAAACAAACATTAACTAATTGGCTTTATACTTTAGAGTTTAGACTATCATGCTACTGAAGAATTGTTAACTGTACAAACGTAAGAAATTATAATATTCATATTAATTAATAAAAATAAATAAAAAAGTATAAAAATAAAATTATATAATACACACCCACACTAATACACACACACACACACACATGTAAAATGTTTTCCATTTCCATTTTTAATCTTAAAAATAAGTTAAATATTTGTTAGTTTATAATTGTATGTTTCCATATATGTATATCCAGAAGGAGGAGCGGGTATTTTGAGATACAGGTTAAACCTACTTTAAAATTCCTGATGCTAACTATTGCTGTTCAAACTGATTTAAACAATAATTTTTTTTTTCAATAGTTTATAAAGACTGTAGAATGAAATTTTATTAATTACCTTAAATATAATAAAGATATTTTGTATGTCACAGATTAAAACTTGTAAGTAAAAGACATAGAGTTTAACTTTATAAATCATCGTATTTTGTATTTGGAGAAGGAAAAAGAAAAATTTTGTACCTAAATATAGGTAGTTAGTTAGTTATCTAAAATCTACATAATATAAGAGCATACGACATAATTAAAGAGTACAGAAATTTTAATATTTTCAACAAATACTGATATCATTAAGTATTAAATTTCGTTTCTGCAAAATCACTTGATCAAAACTGGGACTTTAATATTTCCATCTACAATAACAGTATATCATGTCCCTATATGAGGTTACAAGTTAAAAATGTTCTCCAAAATATGCATCAGTTATATTAGCTTCGAAAACAGTCCAAAACTTTATTTATCATCAAACTTTTCCAAGGTTTTTTGATGCACTTATACTATACATATAACATCTCAATTTTGACACTAAGAATGAAAACCACATCAAATACTGCATAATATTAAGTTTGAAAAAAAAGTGTATGAAATCAGAATATTAAAAACACGAATATTTAAATGCATTTATTGGCACAGTATTACAAATGTCGAATTGAGAACCTCCTTCATTTTGAAGTCGATTAAAAAACAATAATATACACCTCAATTTACTTCATCAACAAAGTCTGCCATCATATCTTCTACACTGGTTCCATCTATTTTGGTAGCAAGATCTTCCCCTTTATTTATATCTTTAGTAATAATATTCACTTCAATTTCCTCATTAATTTTATCAACACCATTGACTTCATTATCATTAATTCCGTTAACAGTTTCTTGTGAACTTGGCACAATTTGTCCACAAGTTATCGCATCATCGTCTGTATCGTTGGTGCTTGGTATATTTTCATCTTCAATCTTCTCTAAGATTGTAACTTTACTAGTTCCTGTATCTGGATAGTTGTATGCTATTTCTGGGATATCACTTGATGTGTTCAATTGTGTTGGTGCTTCATATATGCCATCAGAAATATTTGTATTAGAATCTATGTCTGCTTGTTTGTTCGCATCATTTGTTATTAGACTTATTTGATCATCTGATTGCTTTTCATCATTGTTTATGGATTTCTTTGGAACATTAGTATGTTCTAAATCTTTTTCTCTGTCTGTAGTGTGATTCATTTCCACAACTACATCGACCTCCATAACGTTATCACCATCTGAGTCTGAACTGATGTCTGTTTCATACGGTAATTTAACTGTGCTTGCAGAATCACTGCTTAAACTTATTCTATCTAATTCTTCCACACGTTGTTTTTTATTTGACGGTTCATCTGGAATCGATATGATATCGTCTTCTTTGTCTTGGGGTACTCTGAAAAATGAAAAACATTATTAACAAGAGATGTAGAAGATATAAAATAAATGATTGTCTTGTAATAATAGTTCATACTTATCCGGCCCTAATAAATATTCTAACATGGCCCTGTTTTTGGACGAAACCTTCTTTCTTTTGTTAACAGTTTCCTCTTTTTCTTGATTTATTTCTATAGCGAGGTTGATGGACGGCGGAGAGCAATGTAAGTGCAGTCTTATATCTAATAGAGCTTGACTACAGAATTTTGATATCTGAAAATATATGTGAAAAATGTTACCTACAAAAATTTAAAATTCCATTCATATTATTTTACAAGTTGAAGACTTTGTATGTGCTTGTATTTATTATTCATATATTTAGTCATATATTTGATGAAATAAATTCAGTATTTGTTACTTTTGAGCCATTATTTTCGTGTTCGCAGCATTAGAAATGATTACAAACATTAATATATTATGTATATTATAAGTATGTCTGTGCTCACCTCAGTATTGGAACTATTTAAAAGTGTACTATATATATGAAGACAGTACTGTGTCGGTGGAACGACGTTTGTGGGTGTTGTCTTGCGAGTAGCTTCCAACACTCGCAAGTATAATAATGTTTCACCTGTAGAGTAATAACGGATGACACGCTCTTGGAATAACTGAAAAATAATATAAAGATTAAAATTTAAATAGGTTAATTGATTTACTATGCGTTTATAATTATTTTTAACTACAGACGGACGAGATGAAAATCATCAATAAATACTCGAGAAAGTCTTAAATCTCATTAGGTTATATGGAATGAAAAATTAATCAAACAGGAATCGAACCCACAATCTTTGAAATATTGCGTTCTATTCTTTATCATCAATGTATATTATTAGGAGCATAATGGACTTACATGTACATATGGGCCTATAATTGGTTAGTGATAAATAGCGCATCAGTTTATTCAACAATGAACATGGACATAACCCAAATTAGGGTTCAAAACTATATTATACAGGGTGACTGGTGAATTACTATCAATATTTAAGGAGCATACTCGGTACATGATTCTCATTCGAATTATGTAAAAAAAATAGGTACTTAATTTTTGACCAAATTTCCGTATAAATAAATAAAGTGTTGACACGTTCCAAGTGTTCCAAGTGTGGAAGCGTGCGGCGGCGTGCTGATACAACACCACGCCCCCGCCGCGTGTGTGTGAGTGTATGTGTATACCTAATCTGTAGGGTGTTCACACGATGCGTAATTAATTACACAACTTTTGGTTAACTTTACTTAGAAGTTTATTAATATTTATGTTATATTAATTTTTATTTTGTCATATATGATCGTCAAATATCACGTCCTCAAATATCGATAGTAATTCACCAGTCACCCTGTATATTCACATATGTATTCACAAGCTTATTTCATATTAAGTAAGTCATTTATTTAGAACTTTATTTTCATTCTTACATTTTAGATGAATGATAATGTACTCTTATAACATCAATTAAAAAAAATGTAAAAAAAAAAACAATTAAATATATGTCTTTTATAAAGATTCTGATGGGTTCTATAATTAAAGTTAAGATGATAAATTATTATGATGTTACACATCTTGTAAAGGTGTTAAAGTTATATTTATTAAATAAATAAATGGTAATGTGTAATATTGAGTACCATACTGTATAAAGTAACTGATTTTAATACATATATACGGATATATTTTTCAGGCTAAGTATGAAATATTTCTGACATTATTATTACTTATCTTCTTCTTCTTTCTGGCAATTTCCCAGCTTTAGCCAGGGTCTGCCATATTTTTACTTATAATAAGAAGTAACTTAGCTACTCTAAATTGAGACAGTATTAATTTTTTTATGTAGAAAATCACTGTACTGCATGAAAAAAATAATTTTACAGCCATTTTAAAATACCTTATGTGTTGCCGGTTTGAGGAATCTTCCACACACAGTTAAGAAAATTTCTGCAAACTGTAAGGCTGATACCATAACCTCATTGTTTATTTCCTCTGGACTGAAAAACAAACACATAATTTATTGTATCAATTCATAAAACATATTAACTCAGTTAATAACGAAAATCCTCAGTTGGTTTTAAGCAAACTTTAGATATACTTTAATGTTTTTGTGACAAATATGTAGTAATAAGAAATACAAAAAAAAAGGAATTAAAAAAACTTGCAATTTATTTATTATACCATGATTTTTAACATTAATAGCAACCAGTGGCGGCTGTACCTTAAGTGCACTCGTGCGCTGAACCACCAATTCAAAAGATTTAAAAATTACAAAATAATACTTCATCTTTATTTTTAAATTACCATTTTAATATTTATTTTCTAAACATACAAAAACATATAAAAAATTAAATTTCTAATTATAGTCAAAAAGTTTGTGTGCTTTACTAAACTAATATCTCGTGCGCTTCGTCGAGTGCACGAGGACTGCTAATACATCTTGTATGAGATACGCATTAATACGCCTGACGCGTGAAACAAAAGATAGTTCATAGAAATGTACCGAGTAATGAGTCGGTTCTCGAGCGCCGCACGAGCGGCCGAACATTACCGAGAGCACCCGATGTATGACGAATTGGAATTGAAAAGAATCAAAACTTTTCTCCGAAATACCATGCACTTGCTAAATGCACTTTCTATGCTTAGTATTTAAAAAAATAATTATACAAACAATACTCGATTTTAATAAAACGGTGATTGAACATTTCGTTTAAAAAATAAACATATTTTATGTCAATTGGTTTTTTGTTACATTTTCTAATTTTAATATTTTATTAAAGTGCACCACCAGTTCGATAACCCACCAGCCGCCACTGATAGCAACTCAAGAGAAATACAACATAAACTATATAACATAAGTAGTAATTTAATTAAATTAAACTTTATTACAAATACAATAAGGTGTAACTCACATATCAATTTTATTTTTCTCTCCGGGCATGTGAGCGGCAATTGAACTTTGTAAGAGTTGAGAATTCGCTAATTTCCTTTTGGCTTTTTTGCTTAAATTCTTAGTTGGTTGTGGCCCCATCTAGATTCATAATAAATGTATATTTTATCATTACATTTTATGTTAATCTATGCTAATAATAAATATTTACTTTTAATGTAACTGGTATCATTAACATTTTACATAACAAAATTATTTTAATTTTATAGATTATATTCCATGTTCCTAAATTACAACTATATTTATATTTAAGATAACTGAATTAAAAGTGTTGTTTAAAATTTTTAGAATTATTGGCACATTCAAAGAATTTAGAAATACTACAGTTTCTGTAGTTACTTGAAACATACAAACAAACTCTTCACAATCTCTATATTATATTAATGAGCACAATATAAATTCTTCAATATGTATTTACTTACCGTAAGTTCTACCACTTTCTTCACGGGAGTCACATCTCTCATGACATGTGCCGTCAGATCATCTTCCCAAGTACACTTATCGGGCATCTTATAAATGTGTAATGTTAGAAGCCACTTGCTTAACGTACTGTATGCTGTGCAACGAACTTTGCTGGAATTGACAAACATACATATACTGGATAATCTATTTATTAGAAATCTTACAATAATCTTGAAATTATTATAAAATCTTTTAGAATTAAATAAAAATATCTATACATATTATCTATATGAACAGTTACAACTGTGTCACATTTAAGTTTTTTCTTATAAACCCTTAACTTTTTAAGTAGTAATGTAATCTTTTGAAAATAAGTTTAGAGTTTTATATATGATGCTGCTACTTTTTACATGCGACTGCGTCCGTTTTGACTTTGGATTTGCCTTCAGAGAGAAAGTATAAAGTGAGTCAAAAGGATAGATATGGTGACCAACCGGCAAAAATACAATTGATCGTGTCATGTGACTTCAAACAAAATAAAACTATTATGGCTTGATTTTGCACGAAAAACATGAAATTTTAGGATAAATTATAACATATATCTTATTTTGATGTCTAAGTAACATTACGGTAGAATTTCATCAGAAAATGTTAAGTAGTTTTAGTGTGAAAGAGAAACAAACATCTATATATCCTCATTGTAATCCCTAGAAATGTTATAAATGCGAAAGTAACTCTGTCTGTCTGTTACGCTTTCACGCCTAAGCCACTGAACTGATTTTAATGAAATTTGGTACAGAGACAGAGTTGACCTTGAGAAAGAACATAGGATAGTTTTTATCCCAGACTTTGGAAAGGTTCTCTTGGAAACGCGATATAACCGAACTCCACGCGGGCGAAGCTGCGGGCGGAAAGCTGGTATTATACAGGGTGACTGGTGAATTACTATCGATACTTGAGGACGTGATATTTGACGATCATATATGACAAAATAAAAATTAATATACCATAAATATTAATAAACTTCTAAGTAAAGTTAACCAAAAGTTATGTAATTAATTACGCATCGTGTGAACACCCTACAGATTAGGTATACACACACATACACACGCGAGCGGCGCCGTGGTGTTGTATCAGCACGCCGCCGCACGCGTCCACACTTGGAACACTTGGAACGTGTCCACACTTTATTTATTTATACGGAAATTTGGTCAAAAATTAAGTACCAATTTTTTTTACATAATTCGAATGAGAATCATGTATATAGTATATTCGATAGTAATTCACCAGTCACCCTGTATATATCGTGCTAAGTACCACGATTGAATTGTCATTATGAACCTAATATAGACCTAATGTAATAAAGATCTACATACATTACACTTGATGTGATATAATAATTAAACAATACAAAACACTCATAAACTTTCACATTTATATAATGGTCATATTTTTCTCACTTTAAAATATATGTATGGTTTCTATAATAATTATTAAAAGTACCTAGTAGTTTTGCTCATGTTGTCCGAGGTCCATCTCAATGTTTGTGTCACAAGTCTAAAGACTAGAGGTGAATATGGTATCAAGTTTGATCCCAGACTGAAAACAAAAAAATAGTCTTAACAAATTTGGTTAGGTAGAGAGGAGCTTGGACAGTGGAGATGAGTGTTTAATGTGCATTAGATAAGTGTCCTTAAACCTACATTTGACAGATTTTTTTTTTGTTAATGTTGACTTGTTTTTTGTTTAACTAACAAACATTCTAGGGAAATTTAATTTTGGTTCTTTGTAATTATGTGAATAAATGCTTAGAGATGAAATATTATTTGATAAAAATTTGTATGTATTGTTAGTAATAGTTATTTATAATGATTTAAATATTTGTCTACTTCACAATTCTAAGCTTCACGTTATTAATATTCTAATATTTATTGGGAATTCTTATGATAGTCAACTAGCGCCATCTGTATATTCAGTTTAATTGTGTAAATTAATGTTAGTAATATTTCTGTACAGTAATTTAAATGCCAAAAGACTTAACAATTGGTTTTATAATTTATAATTAGAGTTGCATGTTTGGCACAATGTTAAGTGTTTTATTATTTAATGGAAACCCTTATGAAGAGAATTAGCGCCCAATATTATACCCACACCTAAATGTTACTTTTGAATATTATAAATACGATACAAGTGTTAGACTGGGGATTCGGTTACAAATTGTGGAGCAGTTAACATCTAAGTGAAAGTACTGCCCAAATATTTCTAACAGTAAATAAATATTTAGTGACCACATAATTTTTTTAACTGATGTACATATATGGACTAAAATATGATGTTAAATATCACAAAATACCATGAAATAAATGATTTTTAATAGAAAATAAGAATAATACCACAGAATCATAGCGTCCAATGTCTTCAAGGCCTGTATTTTAACAGATGAAACATCTAAAGAGACATGTTGACTGCTCACACTGAGAGACCTCACTATCACATCTAGTATAGTACGAGGTTGGATCGGTTTCGGTACAGGATATATTTCTCTGTAAAACATACAATGTAATAAATTTATAATTCAAAATAGTTATTATTTACTTATATAGGAGTTATCATTTACTTAATTTAAATCTTGTTTAGAAAAAATACCTCAAGTCAATATTTTGCAAAATTATTAAATTTAAACTTTCAATCTTCCTCTATCAAATATGCAGAATTAACCAATGCTAGTTACTATATATATAGTCGGGGATAGGACAAATCTTCTTATATATTATATAAATTAACTTCATAGAATTAATTAAATGTATGAGACTTGGTAATTGCATTATATTTTCTTATGGAATATTTTAATTACTTACACCAACATAGCCTGTATGAATGTGAATATGTTTTTCAGTCTTGTCATCATTAATTGAGATCTGTCTTTATCTTGGGACTTCTTCACAATGTTTGCTAAGACAGATGATAACGGAGAATTCGACTGAATCTCTGGAGGCTGTGAAAAATTATTTAAATTATTAAAAATTTCATTTGTAAGGTAAAACAAATACATTTTGGTGTAATATCATATATGTTTTATAAGGATGTACAATAATAGGCAATCAGTTAGGTTTCGGCAGAATAAAATTCAAACATAATAAAATCAAAGTAGAGCCAAATGACTAGCTACATTATAGTTATTGAGGAAAAAAATCTTTGGTAAAAAGACGATATGAAATTTGAATGCCTTTTATATTTGTTCTAAAGGAAAAACTATACACTGATAAAGCCCTCGACAATGTTACTTATTTACTAATTTTATCCAGATGTATTGTTCTTAAGTATAACCAAAATCCGTTCATCAAAATCAGTTAGCAATACTGTAGGTATACACTTTACACTGTAGGTATGCACTTATACACATAGACTTATGTATGTGTGCTTAATTATACCTTAGCATTACTTCTGTAAATATCAACAGCATCAGCAAATACAACTTCTATGAGTGAGTGTGCAGCATTACACAATGAATTCATCTGTTGCCGCCAGCAAGATTTTGGTGTAGCCGTCTTATCTTGAATAGGACGAACCTGTAAATGAAATACATATATATGAGATATCAGTCAGTGGTGGCCTGGTTAAAGGGCTAGCCTCTCGTTGCCGAGGACGCGGGTTCAATTCTGGCCCGGGCAAGTACCAATGTGATTTTTACGAGTCATATGTACTTTCCAAGAGTATTTAGACATCATTGATTAATGTTGTTTCCCATAAGAGGGTTGATGTCAGGCAGATGGCGGGTCATAAAAACAAATAGCCAAAACTATTTACAAAATGTAAGGCAGACCCTGGCTATAGCTGGGAAATTGCCAGGTAGAAGAAGATGAGATATGAAATAATAGTAGATATTTATTGACTTGTTTAAATGAATGTTTTTCTACTGTCTGGTCATTTGTTTAATTAATATTTGTTATTTTGCATTGCAATTTTTTTATACACACATTTAATTGTAGTTGAATCAATAATGCCCAATTATATGGATGGTTTTATGTAAGAACCAGAGCAAAAAGTGATACAGACTAAGTAAAATATTATATAGTTTATTTAAATGAATACTCGCAGTCTTATATATATCAAAATAAATAATTATTAATGCAATGACTGAACCGAATAGTATAAATTTAAGTTTTTTAACATACCTGTTGTAGTGCATGAGCACATTTAGCTGCTTTAATGACATAGTAGTAATTATTGGAGCTTAAATAATTACTTATAAAAGACTCTATAGCATTACGATGTGACATACAATATTTAGGATACCTGAAAAAAAGAGATGTAGTTTGGTTGTTGAAAAAATGGCCTTCATCTGTGCAAAGACGTGCACAATATATTCTGCCAGTGTCGTGTAACCTTACGTTAGTGAATAAACATGATTCTGAAGACTTATATTCATGACTTAAAAAATTTGATCTACTTACAAATTCTTCACCTACTACTAATTTTTGTGAAGAATATAGAGTAATAAAGAAGTAATAAGTTTTTAGGTTATACATACCGGTTAATAATAATCAATAACTCGTCCAAAAACCTTTTATTGTTAATATCATTGCGCTTCGGCAAATTTTGGAAAAAGTTTGATAGCACTTCTTTCACAGCTTCACTGTTATTCGGATCGACATTCCGAACTTTTTTAAATACTTGATCTATAAAAATATATTATTAATGAACAGAAACTAAAAGAAGTAATAACACTAAAGCACCTTTGATAATTACCCATTATTGGTTTTTAGAATATGGTTTTCTATAAACTAAAGAACATGATCATTTTATCCATTCATGTAAATTAATAAGAGAATTGATTTTACACATGAATCACACGTGTTTAACGCTGGTGATAAAAGCTAGCAGTTCTGACTTTTGTGAAAACTCATCTGACAGTCGACAAGGAAATCATAACCAACTTCATTTAAGAGGTAGCCATTTGTTCTTAAATTCGCTATATTATTTAATATTTAAATTAGTCAGTTTATATGAAGTGATTTTTTTTGCCGTTCCGTTCAGAACAGGCAAAGAGAACAAGGCCCATACAGCCATGTCTTTTGTATTTTGTATCTTTAATTATTTTTAAATGTCTTAATCTCCTTTTTTTATTCTTGACTCAAGTTTTAATATCAGGCCTAAGCCATGTCTTCTTTTAATTTTCTTCTTAAAACATTTTTTAATTTTAAGGCCGAAGCCATGTCTACTTTTAATTTTTCTTCTTGAATCATTTTTTAATTATAAGACCCAAGCCATGTTTTTATTTAAAATATTTTTTTTGTCAAATTCTTGGTTTTTTTTTACATTCCGTCTTTTTTCAATGTCAAGTCCTTGTAATATCATTTTTAGTACAATAATTAATTTGTCAAAATCGATATAACAGTCAAATTCTGAAAATAGCTGAAATAGCTGAAAACAAATATGTTAAACAAAACGAACAAATTAGTATTATATACATATGTACAAATAAAAATTAGATTTCATTTATAGTAGAAACAATAAAGCCATAAACTGGCAAGAAGCATTCTTGAATGCTTAGTATTTGTTGAAGGGAGCGCGGGATATCTTCAGCAGTTTTAAAAATACTGAAAAGTTGGTCTACAAGGACCATCCTTTGAATACAAAACTGTGGACAGTAAAAAAATATATGTTCGAGGGTTTCATTAGCATTATTGCAATATCTACAAGTTGAAGAGTCAAAAACACCAATCCTAAAAAGGTGAGCACCAAAACGACTATGTCCCAGACGCAAACGACAGATTGTGGTATAAAACTTTCTATGGCTATACTCACTACCCCGGGTAAACCAGGGGAAAGAGACCTTTTTCTGTATTGTAGCTAACCATTTTCCTTTTACCTTTACCACCTAACGCTACAAGTTGTAAAATTCTTTCTGTAACGTGAGTTTGAAAAGAGATAGAGCGTCTGAATAAGGAATTAGGAAATTTAAAAAGCTATGACTTAATTGATTGTGGGCCGGATTTGTAATGAATTTAGCTAAATAGTCTGCTTGCTCATTACCATGCACACCAATGTAGGCTGGTGTCCAGAATAGCACTATTTGTTTGTTTTGAGACAGTAGGTGATACAACTCTCTTATTTTATATATAATATAGTTAGTTTTTGAATTTAATTGTGGATTTTGTAGTGCTGTTAATAAACTTAAACTATCTATTATTAAAATCCACTTTTGATGAGTCTGTGTTTGAATGTGCTCCATGGCGGTATACACAGCTATAGATTCAGCGGAGTATATGCTTGTGAGTGGATTCAGCCTATGACCAAATCCACTTTTGACCTGACTATCATAGACAGCTATAGAGACTGCTCGTTGTTCCTAGACCCATCTGTATATATCTGATGATATCCCTGCCACCTATCAAGTTACTTATAAATGTCTTCCTTATGCTTTAGAAGACTTTTGACTACAATTTTAATCTGAATAAATTTTGATTCATATAACCCAGAGTAACAAGGCCATACCATGCTAGAAAATATATTATGTTTATTAAAAATTTGTTCTGTTTCAGAAAAACCTTGAAACAAATATGAATTAATATTGGCAGTACTGTTAATAGTGTGCTGTGTGCCGCAGTTTAACAAGAAGTGGATGATTACTAACAGAGAAAAACCTTTCAAAAAATTTTGATTGTAAGTATTTAAACTCAAGTGCTAATGGAGGTATATTACATTCCACCTGCATTGACACTATGGGAGTAGTTCGCATGGCACCCATTATAATACGCAAACATTTGTTTTGTACCTTTTCTAATTTATCCACTATAGTTCTTACAGCTGCAAAACATAAAAAAAGCATATTCAAAATCACTCCTTCATCATCATCATTATCACTTAGCCTATAGCAGTCCACTGCTGGACGTAGGCCTCTCCCAACACGCGCCATAACACTCGGTCCTCTGCCTTCCGCATCCAGTGAGACCCAGCGACCTTTTTAAGGTCATCGGTCCACCTAGCTGGGACTCCTTACTAATGATTTATACAATGTTAATAGAATTCAGTAGGTGGTAGAGCCTAGCTGTGGTTAAGTTACTACAGCTCGAACATGGGCTGGCTCGACCGGGGAAGTACCACCCTCTCACAGAAGATCGGCGTGAAGTAGTCAGTAATGACTGCGTTTCGTCCGATGAGTGAGAGAGCCGGTTGCCCTTTCCCTTTTCCCAACCTTTCCTTGTATTTCCTTATTCCCACCCCTCCCTATCCTTAAAAAGAAAAGGTTGGCAACGCATCCGCAACATATTTGTTGCGGATGTCCATGGGCGACGGTAACCACCTACCATCAAGTGGGCCGTCTGTTCGTTTGCCACCTATAACATAAAAAAAAAAAAAAAATCCTTGGATCAGCACCCCAATATGTGCCTGTTAAAGATTTTAAAACATTACAAGCATTTAAAGCTCGAGATTCTAGAGTTTCAGCATACTTATTCCATCTAAAATTGTTTGTAAAAATAACACCTAAAAACTTTACAGAGCTCTCTACAGACATTACATTATTTTTGAACAAAATATTTACATTCCCATTTCTAATTCCATTTTTTAAAAAGACAACAACTTAACTTTTTTCATTGCTGACCTCCAGCCCAAGGCTATCAAAATAGTTCTTTAGTCTTTCGAGAGCAACATTGAGGTCTGATTGTACACGTAAAAAATTAGTATCAGAGCAATAAACAATTACATCATCTGCAAACTGCAGATTTGAAACTTCACACCCCAGAGTTAAATTTAGCTGATGTATGAATAGGATAAAAAGCAATGGGCTCAATAACTAGACCAAATAACTGATTGTTAACCTTAACAAACACCTTTCTGTAGTTCATAAAATTAAAATCCAATTTACAACTTTTCCAGGTACCTGTAGTAATAATAATATTGAGGATAATTTGTTCAGATCTACGTTATTGACAGCCCCTACAATGTCAAGAAAAACACCAACCAGCACTTTATTCTCGGAATGAGCATCATGGATATCCAGACAGAAATGACGTAGACTCTCACAAGCAGAAAGGTCACAACGAAAGCCAAACTGATTGTAAGGTAAAAGGATTATTACTTTCTTTGTGAAAAATTAATCTCTGTTTTATTAATTGTTCGAAAATTTTTCCAACACATGAACTCAGTGTAATAGGACGATAAGAATCAGCCAAATTAAAGTCTTTGCCAGGTTTTAATATTGGTACCAAACAGTCAGTTTTCCAATCCTCTGGGATAATAGAAGACGACCATAAACTATTTAATAGACTTAAAAAAATAGATAGAGTTTGAACATTTAAAAGTTTACACATTTTGTAGGAAAGCCAATCCAGGCCACATGAAGAATCTTTTCTTGAGGCTAAAGCAGATTTTAACTCTTGCATAGTAAAACAACTGATCACAAATGAATTATCACTATTTACTCCAAGAACATTACCTATACTTATCTTTTGTGAAACAGTATCCGGTGTGTATTTATATAAAAATGTTTGAACCCAATTGAGGTCAGAAAATAAGTTAGAACTCGGAAAGCTTTTTTTGGATTTTCTTATTTTAGTCCAAATGCGATTTATAGATGTCAAACGATTTATTGATGAGCAGAATTCAGACCAACTTTTACAACATTCTTCTTTTAAAGTGCGTTTTTTAAAGGCTTGTGCGCGTTTGAAATTAATGTAATTTTTACTATTAAGACTAGTTTTGAAATTAATGTAGGCGTTCTTGCTGTCTTCTACTACTTTTGAACATTTATCATTCCTCCAAGGTACTTGACATCTTTTTCTAGGACGGTTATTATTACTATCACTTGTGTTATGGTTTAAGCTGGGCCCGGAGAAAGTGATTGCCAGTAGAATAATTGCACAAAACTTTCTGTATGAATCAAGGAGATCAATATTGTCAACTTTAAAGTTCATTAACATTTTATTAACAATTTGTTTATACCTATCCCAATTTATTAATTTCAGATTGCTGTGAAAAGGAATGTTGTTCAAGGAAATAGAGGGTTCATGTTGATCTCTTACGAGAGTAAATTTTGTGATAGTTGGCAGATGATCACTGCCTAAAGGGTCCTGATGAACTTGCCAGTCACAAGAAAGAAATAAAGAAGAAGACACCATAGTTAAATCTAGACTGTTTGGTTTCCAAATATGAGAGCCTATAGTCGTTGGTTGACCATTATTTAAAATTATTGAGTCATGGTCATCTATGGAATCCATAATAGCTTTGCCCCGAGAATCTATGCGACTACAACCCCAAAAAGTTTGATGGGCGTTAAAATCGTCTGCAATTATCAACGGTTTTGGAATACTGTACAATAAACGATCGAACTTCGCCTTTTCAAAAGCAGGAAAACTATTACCAGGACTGTAAAAACTAACCAAAGAAATGCATTTATGTTTCAGTTTAATAACAATTACTACATTTTGTAACGAATCATCATAAAAAGTATCTAGTTTAGAGAAATGTATATCATTTTTAATTAATATTGCTACGCCATTATGATCATTACCGCAGTCATTCCTAATAATGGTATAACCACGTAAATTAAATTGAATGCTAGGTTTGAGCCAAGTTTCTGAAATAAGAGCTACTACATGTATATTATTTTGGTATAGAAAATTTTGAAATTCAAGTCTGTTACTTTACAAACTTTGAGCATTCCACTGTACAATATTTAAGATTTGGTGGTTGAATGTGACGATTTGCTATTTATTGTCCTATATCGTTTCTTTAATAGCTGAGCTAATAAATTGTGAACTAATATGTACTTATATTTTGAGTTTTATTTAAAGTTATAACTTTTACTATAGATTCTGTTACTAGAGTCATTGCTTCGGAATTTGATAGTATTGCTTGGATTACTTCTTGGGTATTTAATTTTTTATTAAGGGAGGGAAAATTTAATGAATCTTTTAACGTGTCAACATATGACTTGGGTTTACTGTTTGCGATTTTCTTTTGCCTTATAGGGCACTGGCTAGACATGGCAACGTGATTGCCATTACAATTAAGGCACTTAGCTTTTTCAATGTTAACCTTGCATTCTTTGAAAGAATGCCCCTCTGTGCATATGGAGCATCGCGGTGAATTTTTACAAAACTTAGGCAGATGATCATAGCGTAAACATTTAAAACACTGTTTTATAGGTGGGACATATGTGGAGACAGGCAGGCGCCACATCTTAATGTGAACATAGTCCGGCAATGACGTAGCAGACGCAAAAGTTATTACTACGCTCTGAGTAGGTTGCAGTGTGAAGGTGTTATTTTCTCCTTTTACTTTACGCATTATGCGTCGGACAGAAATGACTTTTTTTGTTGTTGATATTGCTTTACATATTTTGTAATTGGATAGATGAGTGGGAACCGAAGGGATAACTCCCGATAGTTCGGTGGCCCCTGCTGGTATTGAAGCTTTAAGTCGTTGTTCCTTTAGATATGTAGTATTTTCTAAAAAGGCATTTGCCAAATTCGCACGTTGGAAAACAACACCGACCTTATATTTATTTATTTTTTTTTAAATATTTATACCTTTCACAGAGCATATAAAACTAGTACTAAGCGACATCATGTCCCTATTACCGAGTGGGACATCATTAGTACTTTCGACAAATACTATGAATTCAGACTTGGCTTCCGCATCTTCAGGGTATCGCTGACAATAATCAGCGACCCTAAAGGGAGCGAAGGCATTTGCATCCTGCAATACTGGCGAATCCTCGCAATCGGAATCGCTGCTTGTGCTGAAATTCAAGGACTCACCCGAATCCTTCTTTTTACGTTTTTTTACCATCTCTCCACATAAACACTTAAATTATAGTATAAAACTATTAAAATAATTAAAATTTTCAAAAAGCCCGCGTCAACGTATCCATTCCCGCGCTCTTTTTCTTATATGAAGTGAATAGTTTAATATCAAAGTCACAGATGGCATTGTTTCAAATTAAGCAATATATTAATATCAACACAATTTTTATTCAAAAGTATTTGATATTGAAGATATTATTGTTACTTATCGCAATTTTGAAATCAAACAAATTGCAAAAATTAAGTTATTCATATTCTAGTAGAAGGATAATCGAATTTAAAGATAAAAAAGTTCTACTTGGTTATAAAGTATAAAAATTGAAATTCTCAAAAAAAGTGTCAATTTTTTTATTTAACTTTACTAAAGTTTTTTTATTAACTTTATGTAAATCCAGTCTTTTTAATTGGTTGCTATTATTGTAAAATGGATATATCACTTTTTTAAGTAAATACGTTTCAGAGAGTGATAATGTTGTTATAAAGTGTATCATTGTTTTTTTATCTAAAAATAAAGATTTATTATTGCAACGCACATAAACCTCAAAAAATATCATTAACTAAGTTTTTTTAAAATATATACTATGTCTTAAACATAGTAACTTAGACCTTACAGTTTGGCAATTTAGGTTTTCTTTTCATTCCGACCTTTATACAATGAATAAAACGTCACATATATTTGACGTTGATATCAAATAAACTGACAGTGTTTAAAGATCTCGTTTTCTTACACGTATTCAGGAATTACTTTTAATAGATCTCTAATTTAAAAAACAAATAAATATGTCTTAATGTATTGTCAAAATGTCAACGTTCACAGGATTTAGTGAGGAGGATTTGAAGAGAATTAAGTCAGAATCAATAGCAAGCAACGGTAAATATTCTTTAGTTTCTTTTTTTTTTCAATTATTTCCCACGATCTTAGTGGTAATTCTTATTAGCAGCTTTCTGTAAGTTTTATGGCTACAATAATTTATGAGTTCTTTTATAAATATATCAAAGTGTACTTTTAAACTGATTTTTTCACAAGAAGTCTACTGTGTCTATATGATAATATTTACGAGTTTTCACCGGTAAATATAGTTTTTTACCTAGTCTTTTATGTATTATATGATTCATTATATACTAACCTTTGCTAGGCAATCATGACATCATAAATTGCACATCCAATTGGATGTACTCAGATTATTCACAAGTAATTTAAATAATATTTTTGTATTCAATATAACACACATAGTTGATATATAAGACTATTTGATATCACAATTAATACACATACAGGATGTTGCATGATAAATTTTATTATATCATGCACATATACCTATTAATAATAAAGGTTTTAATTTGAATTTATTAAATTATTATCATCAATTAGTTTCCTATAAAATAAAGTAGTGAGATTATTAAATGATAATTAATTTCAGACTACCCAGTCAAAATAGAAAATGCAAAGATATCAAGCATTGGAAGCAAAATAAAAAGACCCATACCACAATACAAACTTCCGATACTACAGAAAAATATTGATGATGAGATTGACACGGCTTTCGACAACTGTAAACTAAGTTTGAAATCTCCGACAATAACAAATATAAGTACTGAAATTAATGGTAAAAATGAAAATGTTAATAACGAGACTATCAATCATAACAAAGAGAATATGACACCTTTGAATATTGATGTAGTTAATGAAATGAATCAAGAAAAGGATTTGTCAGTAAATGAAAATGCAGTCAGTAGACGGAATAGTTCCAATCTGGCACCAGATGTGATCAGATGTGTTGATAATTACACTGAAGATGAATTAGCAGCTCATAGACTGAAATTAGAGGAATTGCAGATTCAACAGAAGTTGATGGAGGAACAGAATAAGAAGAGGAAGGAAATGCTCGCCAAGGCTCTGGCTGATCGGTAAGAATATATTTGACACACTGAATGTATGGGAATATTATTAAGAATAATTTTCATTTCACTTTGTATGAGGGTGTACAAGTATCATACAATGTAAAGGATTGAGCTATGCTTAATAATATTATTGTAATTGACATTATTACAATAACAAATGGTTTCATGATGTTCTCACTTCAAGTATTCAGTGCAAACTGAACTATTGTATTCTCGTAATACTTGCTTGAAGAGCTCACTATACAAGTATTATCCTGGGTTCTCCCAAAAATTTTACCATTACATCTAGAATATTTCTACTTCATGACATGTATATGGTTTAGATAATTTAGATATCAAGAATTTACTGTTGGACATGTGACAATTAAACAAACATGCCACTAAATAAGTTGTGGTTATTGAATATAATGTCACATAATGTTCCAAAAATATAGAGCCCCTATGGTGGATCTCAAATTTATATGTCTTGCAAACATACAACTTTCAAAAAACCTTGATATCATATTTTTTAACTAGATTTTTATTAAGTAACTCCTTTAACTAAATAGTTCGAAATAATGGTGAAAAGGAAAATTCTGTTCAAATTATCTTGATTTCTTTAATCTTTTATCTTATCATGTAAGATATAAGTGGTCTACAATATTTTGGCCGATAGATCATATCATGCTCTCATGTTGCAGTTGAAATATTGTAAATAATGGTGAATAAGTTTTTGTATTTAATAACAAAACCTATATGGTAATAATTTTAAAATATATAAATTTAAGGCAGCAGACCCAACAATTTTCTCTTAATGTAGATATTTTGACAACACTTTGTTATTTTTCTATAACTAACTTAAAATAATAATTAAGAGTTAACTGAATTCAACCACATTTATTTTTATGTTTTACAAAATAACAAATTTTAATATAAATATTTTTTTATATTAAATGTGTTTTTAGGACAAAACAAACAGAGGAGGAAGTATTGAAATTGGAAAAAATAAAGAAAGAACTCCAAGTATTGGATGGCCAGTTTTCTCAGGATGTGGCCGTTTTGAGGAAGAAAATAGATCAAGCTTGTGTCAGCTTTGCAGATGCAGAGTAAGTGATCACAAATTATATTTATGTTCAGTGGCGGCTGTACCTTAAGTGCACTCGTGCGCTGAACCACCAATTCAAAAGATTTAAAAATTACAAAATATTACTTCATCTTTATTTTTAAATTACCATTTTAATATTTACTTTTTAAACATATAAAAACGTATAAAAAATTAAAAATCCTAATTATGGTCAAAAAGTTTGAGCGCTTTACTAAACTCTCGTGCTCTTCGGCGAGTGCACGAGAACTGCTGATACATCTTGTATGAGATACGCATTAATACGCCTGGCGCGTGAAACAAAAGATACTTCATAGAAATGTACCGAGTAATGAGTCGGTTCTCGAGCGCCGCACGAGCGGCCGAAGATTGCCGAGAGCACCCGATGTATGACGAATTGAGTCGGCCGGCCGCGGCATGTTTGACATCTCGTTATGTTTTATTGCATTTTCTAATTTTAATATTTTAGTAAAGTGCACCACCAGTTTGATTACCCACCAGCCGCCACTGTTTATGTTACATCGATTATTATACTTTTATAATTAGTAATTTAATAATTTATTTGGTAAACTTCAATGAAATCTTTCTTATAACATATTTTGTATAGCTATTGGGAAAAATTTTGCTGATTTGTGAAAATAAAATAGAATGGAAACTAATAAATAATTAATTATTTATACATATAATTGCTTACTTTAACATTTTTCAATAATTTTTCTTTTATCATTGATATTAACCAAACATATTTTTTTATAGAAAACAATATTTGAAAATAGAAAAAGAATTTTTACAAGCAAAAATTAATTTGCAAAAGGAAAGGGAGAAAAAGGAATTGTTGACAGAGCATCTATGTGCGTTGATAACACACAATGAAACAAGGAAAGCTCAAAAACTGGAAACATTGATGCTTGAACTTGCAAGTGAGAAAAACAAAGTAGAAACGCCAAGTGTGAGTCCGATTATTATTGATGGTGTTGATGAACGGACTGGTAAAATCGTTGAGATATTGCCACAAACATAATGTATGCACTAAAAGGTCTTATTCACTGGTTATATGTTTGTTAAGTTGATATTGGTATAGTCCGTTAGACTTAAGCTGAGCTTTGCATTTGTGTGAGTGAAAGTAAAAGTAGAGTTACACAAAAAACTTGTAGAATTAAATTTTATAATATTTTAAATAGATACATAACATAAGTGCTATAAAATAAACAAAACTTGTAAAAGTCCAGATGGAAATATTATGAATATTGTGGAAAAAAAATAATATTGATTAATAAGAATTTTGAAAAATCTACACATTATTTTTCACTTGACATTGCGTTTTCAACATTTGATATTGCTACCAGTACAAAAGGTGAAGTGCGGAAGGTGCGGGGTGGAGTAAAAGCAGAATAAACCGGTTCAAAACTAGTAATGTATGTTGCATTCAAAAATTTGACATCACACCTACACTATCCGTGTACACTCACACAAATGCAAAGCTCAGCTTAAATCAAACGCACTATATACTGTTCTATAATTCCAAAATGTTGATCCAAAAAAGCTGGTCTTATAAATCCTATTTGAATCGCTTATTCAGAAGTGAAAATAATAAAATTTAAGTTATATTAAAATTTATTTTTTATAATTATTCTCTATAAATTTGACTAATACTTGCATTCTTACATACTTAATTAATGTATGGTTTTACTTTTTTAATATTTAAGTCTACTCCCATTAATATTTACATATAATACTGATAGTTCATAACAATTATTTAACTCATATTTAAGGCGGCCAACTTTCCGAAAACTGAATGCGGGACTTAACCTTTCGTGAATGGCGGGGGGGGGGGGGGGTTTAGTGATTGGGAATGTCATAAAAATCTTCGCAACTGCCCATATTAAATTTAAATACTCTCTTACGCGTCACGAGTTCAGAGGAAAGAAAGAAAACGAGATTGGCGCGGGCGCGCTACGCTTGTCCCTATTATAGGTAATCACTAATCTGTGTTCCTGCACTGTTGACCGTGGTATGGGTGTTGTGGTAAAAAAATAGGGATGCGGACATGCGGAACGCATACAACGTTTTGCGGGACTATTTTACTAATAATTTCAAAGCGGGATTTCGCCTAGAATTGCGGGACGGTTGGCCGCCTTACTCATATTGCCATTTAATGTGACATAATTCTAAAGTCTTAACAATATCCCAGCAATACATTGTAACTTGTGCCAGGATTAACCAATGTGTTGTATGTTATAACATATTTGTAAATTATTGAATAATTTTAGTGCCTTCAACTCGGCCTCAATATTTAAAGATAAATATATGTATGTTCCTGCTGTTACAAAGCATATGAAAATAAATATAGGGCTTTCCTTTTGATCATTTTAAAATGTGATTTACTGATTTATAAGCTAAAGTCCCAGCAGAGAAAATATTAGTATGATAAAAACATGACAGAAGTAATACAAGTGTTGCCAGATCATAAAAGATTTATGTTTATATTTATATACACATATACTTCTTACGATCTGGCAACATTTGTATATGCAAATCCATGACTTATTTAGTACCAATACATTGCTGGGTTTGAACTTATATGTAACAAAGATTCGTTTGGTGCTAACTAGAATATTAGTGCCTTAATAATTTAGTCATGTCAAACATGGCGTTATATAAGACTAATTATCCTTGTAATTATAAGTATTACACTCAAAGATTTTTATTTTTAAATTTAAGAAATGGTCGGTTTTCAATACATACTGTTTACTGTTTGCCAGTATCAAAAAATATTGTAACAAAAACTAGATTTAATTCTATTTAAGTACATCGAATATTATAATTAGTTTGTACAATTACATTGATAAAATTTATTAAAAAAATAAAGTTAATATATATAAAATATATATATTATTTTAACATACTTTTGTTTTCTTTTGGTAACTACATCCCTTACAGATAAAGCTACAAATAATTTTAAATTTCTTGTAAATGTTATTTCATATCAAAAAGTATTTTTTGTTCTATTGATGCTGTTATTTTTATGGGTTCCTATCGCCATTAAATTTGGGTTACGTATTTATAGTTTTTTTTAAATATAAAATTTCCCAAGTACTGTAGTATAAAACATGAAAATTATTTGTCATTCGAAAATCGAATATCTTATAGAAGTAATCACACTGCCCGTAAAGATATTTTTTATTGAACAAACAAAATTATTCAAATAACTCACAATTGATTAAGACTCCAAGCCTTCAAAAAGACTATTATATGCGGATTTCTAAAAGTGTGAATGACGAATACCTAAGACTTAATTCTTCATTTTTAAGTATGTAGTAAAGTTGTATTTATTCTTTATTGACTTTATGAATAAATTAATAAATACGGTTTTTGGTAAAACCGCTTTCGTTTAAATCATAAAATGACCGTTATTAAAAAAACACAATGATATCAATGCCTTCCGAGCTTCAAATATGTTAAACATGTTAGTGCATATATTTACTTTCAGTAAATATAATGACTGAATGAAAGTATGAGAGCATTTACAAACTGGAAGTATATGAAAATACTCTTTGAATGCTTTGACTTAAAACAAACGTGCGATACTCGTCTAGTGTTACCATAAAATACTTTACATTATTGCATAAAAGTTAAAATCACTCAAATTTCGTTTCTGAATATTTATTATTTTCGTTTCCTTTTATTATTTTTTTTATAAAAAATGCGGCCAACGAGTCAACGGCCTACTTGATGGAAGGTAGTCCCAATCGTCCATGGACATATGCAACATAAGTGATGTTGCTGATGCGTTGCCGATCTTAATTATTGAAGGAGGAAAGGGTAGGTAAGGAGACATTTACTTCTAACAAAAAAGGCGACTTAAGGAAGATGTTTAACGACATTTTGTGAAGAACATCTTCCTACCCGTATGCTATCCCCAATTACAATACGAAGTCTTGCGATCTTTGAGTATAGATTTGATATTCGCGTCAGCATTTTGGAGTTCTTTCCGTTTTTCTCTTTCTTGTTTGATCAGTTCTAGGCCTCGTTTTGCTGCACAATGATATCTTTGACTGAGTGACGCCTCTGAGCCTTTGATGCGAGGAATGTGTCCCGTGTAGCCAGCTATCGGTGGGAATTCTGGTGATATAGTGTTATCTGGAAATCACAATATAAAATTAACATACATTTTTAAAAGCATAACAGATATTTCATTATCAATAAGCAATCTTATCGGTAAATTGTTTCGGATAAGAATCCATAGATTCCCATGTAACGATAAATCGATTATTTAAAAGAATTTCAACTAAACGTCTGAACCTCTATTATTGTATAAAAGAAATTCGATAAAAATCCTCCAAAATAACCTGAGTGACATTAAGTATGAATATTATGCCACGTATGATATGTACTGGTATCTATATTCCATTAGCAAACGAGCACATTATGATAATAACCTTTATATTTATTGATCTCTCTGAATCTGCTCAAATCTCTCCGTATTTCGTCTCGCGAGTGTATCGTTTCCATCTTGGGAGCGCTCCTCGATCGTGTGTAACTTCTGTTGATGTCGGCTTTTCGTCGTAATTGTCGTTGATTGGTCGTGAAGTCCGTCATGCAGTCGTCTGACGCTCGCCCGAAAGATTTGCCGTATCTGTTATTATTTTGAATATTTTATCTACATAGTAAATATATTGATAAAAGTAGTTTTTAGGACCTAAAGAAAAAAATAACTTGGGAGGAATGTTAATATCAGGGGAGAAGAAAGGGTAACCGGCTTTCTCACTCGGACGAAACGCAAATGACTACGAAATTACTGCACGCCGATTTTCTGTGAGAGTGTGGTACTTCCCTGGTCGAGCCAGCTTAAATTTGATATGTATATGTATAGTTACTTAACCACAGCTAGGCTCTACCACCTTTACAATCTAATGTTTAGTTATGAAAAGAGAAATAAAAATATTTGAAAAATATATGCTATATGTACAAATAAAAGACAAAACAGCAATCTGTCACAGTTGAAACATTGCGTTATGTAGGGAATTACAATGGAACATTTTTAAATGACAAATTCGTATATTAAATCGATTATTTAATAGACATTACACATGACGACAACATTGCTATTATATTATTCACAGGCGTTATATACATGTAAATATATATTTATATATAATGTTATTATTACGTGAAATTCATCCCGGGCACGTATCCTGTATATCCCGTGACGTGTCCGTTCCTGTGTCGCAGGTCCTCGTAAACGTCTCGTGAGGGTGTGTCTCTTCGTGGGTAACTGTCAACCTCGTAGTTATCGCCCGGCCGATATTTAAGGGGCTTACTACGGAAATAAATGATATGATAAATCGGTTTATATATATAAAATTATTAAAATTCTAATATTAAATATATAATTGTATTTGTATCTTCTTGTTTATTTTTTTTTATGACCAATCTCTAAAACGGTTTTCCAATTTTTTCCAATTTTCCAAATTAAAACAAATCCCAGCGTGCGAAGTCGTGGGCAGAGCTAATAGTATATATAAATATTTAAACATGCTAAAACAATGACCCATATAAATTAATTTACTGCTAATTATACGACAGTGAATGGGGTCATGTCATGTTTCGAATATACAAAACCAACGGCTTCAAGGTTAAGTCTACATGAGTACTACGAGCGTAGCGCGGTCGAATTGCACTCGTAACCTAGTTTTAAAGGCTTATACAATAATAAACAAGGCTTCATAATTGATGATAGTGGTTTTTAAATACTACTGTTACTAGCAGTTTCAATGTTTAACGAAGAGATTATAGTTTCCATTCACAAATGTCTACATACTTACTATCAATGGCGGTAAGTGAACTAGACTTCGATACTCGTCGTATGCAGTTTGATTACGCAAACTTGTAATACCTAAGTACATGTGTATATTAATTTATACTTACTTAAATAAGCCCTTTGTTCGGATTTCTTTTAAAATCTGACGGGTGTTGTCTCCGTAGCATTTACCATAGCGAAATTTTAGCAGAGGGCAATGACCTGTGTACCTATAAACATTATCGTATTAGGTAAATAAATGATCAATATATGCTATCCCAGTTTAAAGGTGGAAAATATCACAAAATTCGATTTATTTTTTCGGTAAATTGTAATCTACCGAAAAAATATTTAGTTTCTCAGTCGGAAAAGGCATCGTAGCGGAAAATACGTTTGAAATTTCATTACTAAAATCAAACCAATATAGGTATTTGAAGAACATCATTTGATATGTAAATATTTTAAATATAACTAAGAGAATACAAACAATGTACGGATGGATTATAGTGTTTATTTTATATTATATTTACAATAAACATTAATTGTGTTATAAATAAATCTGGAACGGCTTTTTGATTGATTTTTAAACGTTTAGGACGGGCAATCTTCTAATAGGAAGCAGTATCCCGATGGTAGGTGTAAAACGAAAGGAAAGTCACAGTCACATCTTGACCAGTCGCAGATAATGCCCATTGAAATAGCGACTGGTTCATCACAGGTCCTCTGGGAAGGTGTAGGTCGACACTCACTGTTCAATCTATGCATATACTCCGGACATTCATCAACACCTGATAATAAAAGGCTTTATCATCATCAATAACTATTGAAGTTAATTTCACTATAACTTTTAATCAATACTATAATATAATTTACGAGAAAATAACAGTTAAATCATTGAATTTGAATGAAAAGAAATAGAACGTTTGATATTTATAGAGAAACGTACTAAAAAACGGTTAAATTTTAATAATATATCATATAAAGTCTACTTACACGTATTGTTGTAAGTCAAACAGCCGGGTGTACCTATTTTGGCGTAATACAATGAATCTATCATTTTAAAAAGGCAAAATATGATGAAGATATGCAACATGTCTTAATTTTATAACGAAGAGACGGCGAATATCGTTCAAATCGACGTTTATTGAGAGATAACAATGACATCTCATGTTCTAGTATTACTAAGAACAGCTCAAATACGTTTAAACAGATGTTCTTTCCTGTACGGTCACTCTTACCACAAGTTTGCACAGACTGTACACAAACAGTTTCGAGTTAAATTTAATTATGGTATGGTATTTAATGTTGAAAGGAAACATTTTAATTTTCTCGTGTTTATGTTGACGTAAATTCGCGGCTAATTGATGTTTCTAATTAAGAGTGTAGAGTCAGTTTCACCAAACTCCGTTTGTTAAATATAAACGGGGCATTTGCTAAGGAAACTTAAAAAATACAATTGTCTGTTAAAATATTTACGTTCCACGATGAAAAATTAACCACGCTTTATTAAATGTCACTTTAAATGACTGACTACCGAATCGAATATGTAGAGATTAACAATTCCACATTATTTATTCTCAATTGAATGTATTTGTCTCCGATTTAGCTTATTATTTTTAGAATACAAAGTTTTAAAAGTAAATCAGATTCTTTACAATTTATATGTTGTTATGTGAACATATATTGTAATATATAATTAACGTTACCGCCCTTGAAGTCTTCCTATTCCCATTTCATATTAGTACAAGTTACAACCTATTTTCTAATTATACCTGCCTACCCTTTTGATGTATCTACCCACCAAATCATAACAGATCAATTGTGACACTTATAACAATAGCGCGTTCTTTAATTTAATACATATTTTGAAACAAAGTGAATATTGATTGCATTGCATTGCAATAAATTGCATTTTAATTTATATATTTTTTTATCAAACACGGGAACAGACATTAAAAATATTACAGCGACTTTAATTATTCTCCAATACAAAAAATAAGCATGGTTTTAAGGAGTATTCATTAAATGAATCGATAAAACAAGTGTCCCTTTATTAATTATTAAAAAAAAAACATAATCCATTTATTTAACGTAATTTTCATAAAGATAATATCTTTTAATGTTAAATCATAAGACACTAATAATAGAAAATGTATTGAATCTCTTTTGTATCGCATAATAAAGACGCCAGGAAAGTTTTGTCACGCAATTATCATAATTCTTAAGAAATTACTGTAAATTGTTGCAATACAAACGCATAAATTTTATAATTTCTTTGACCTACTTTTAAGTTTTCTTTGTCGTTTGTTTTAGTTGTTTTGTATTGATATACTTGTTGCCTGTTGGTAGTGACAACTATTTGACATAAATAAACTTCTAGAATGCTTTTAGTGCTTAAAAAATACTATACCGAGTTTAGGAAACTCGTCTTGAATTATTGAACTCATTCTACATCTCGTCTGTCCTTATTCCTAATAAAGTAACCTAAACGGTTGCTGTAAAGTAACCGAAACGTCGAGAGTATGTATAGTTTTTAAAGATAGTACTTACAATAGGAGTAGCAATCGGAAAATATATGTTTTATTTAAATGAATGCGCAAGTCTTAGATCTCATTATGTGAACCAGTACTGATTGAAAATCAGTAACAAAATATTAAAACCAAGCTGTATAAAGGCAATAAAATTATAATACTAATTACATATTGACTCATTAAAAAATTCTTGCATTTATATTTTTGTACCAGAATATATTGTATTACCTAATAGGACGTTAAAAGATCGACGTAAACAACATTTGGGGTAAAAGTTTACCGTTAAGGAAAATGGCTGGATAGATTTTTTTTTATAATGTTCTGCTTTATTAAGGTAGGGAGTAGAAGAACCAAAATATACAGAAACGTAAAATTATGTAATCATTTCAGAAAGTCCTGAAAGTATGGCTATCTGACGCAGTCATATGTCATATGTCAAGAGGGATCGTGAGTTAAAAGTAATCGTCATGTATTTTTATAGTAATATAATTATTATGTAATTTTTTTAAATAAAAATAACAATATACAGTGTAAAATTTTATAACAAAATATTTTATGGCAATTCATCAATATCCTCTTTAGGTATCTTGATTCTCTTCGACACGCGATAACGGTTTTGTCCGCTACGGCGGCGTTCGGTAACAGAATTTGATCTCGGCAGTTTGGTAGGATAAATCGGGCAGTCATGTAATTTCATACAAGTGTTTGTCTGTTCGTCGAGAACATCGTCGCCACCGCAATCACAACGTGACCAGCCGCAAGTATATCCTGGAAGTAATAATAGTTTAGTTCTAAGAAACACTATTTAGTTGAATGACAAAAAAATTATATTAATATAGAATATAAGCTTATAAATTAGTAGATTCTTGTTTTACAAATTGATATAATTATATTTCATCATTTTACACTTTATTATTTTGGTAAATTATACAGCATTAGTGTTTCCGAAATATAAAGTAGCATTCTTTTTTTATTATTTAAATTGCAATACGTTAATTCCCACCAAAGTATTTTTTTAAAAGGTTTTTTTTTTTTATTCAAAGCAAATCTAAATTTAAGCGATGTGTGATGGACATACCCAGGACGTAAACATTGGGCCTATCACAGGTCCTTTGTGATATCGTCTGTCCGTCGCACTTCGTGTGATAAGGGTACATGTTCCTAGGGCAGTGGGATACACCTGAAAAAAAAACATTTAATGAAATAATAACCCTCATATTTAATGCATGGCAACTCTGAACTAAGAATGTCAAATAAAATGAGCAAAAATTATTATTGATATTGAAAGCGAATGATTTTTTTAATGTTTTGTATAAAATTGTATCATAAAATATAATAATTTGCTTGTTACTTACATCTTCCGGCATGGAGCAAGCAGCGTCTATCAGTGTCGAAGGCTAATACAACAGCGAGCAAAGAAAGTATTACAAAATACGCCATTGTTCTCTTACGCACAGACACTGATGAGGAAATATATCCACACATAGATTGTTATTGTTTACTTAATCGAATGGAAACATCAGCGGTAACCAACCGTATTGAATATGTATAACTTTAAAATTAATTTTGTATTCCTACTACTATGTATTTTCTTTGGACGATTCCTAAACGTATAGAATAAAAAGTAAATAAAAACGAATTAATCAAAGTCACGTTTACAATGTCGAAGACGAAATATCCAATAATAAATTTAGTTTATACATCGTCTTTGCACGTAGAAGGCCATATTTTAAACAACCAACCATGTTTGTATATTTTAAAGGAAAATTAAGCCTATTTTTATATATATGTTCATAGTTAAGTAATATTTAAAAGCTTATAGCAGAATATCATATATGAAGGAACCGTTTTGGTTTAGTTTAGTTTTGTATGCTCAATAAATAGTTTCAAACCAGCATAAGCTACAGTTAAAAAATATTTGATGTTCGAATAAAAATAAAGCAATGTTTAATGAAAAATGTTTTTCAGACGTAACGTTTGTTTGAGTTCGTTGTTAAGTTTGTGTTTATGTAAACGGCGAAAAGCATGTCTCAAGGTCCAAGAGAATTGATTGACGAATACCGATTTAATCTTCATTCTAGATCTTGATAGTGTTAAAGGTTGACCTAGACCTAAAGGTCACCCTTTCGTACATTTGTGTCACCCAAATATTTTACGTCATATTTGTATTTTACGTCAATAACAGTTTTCGATTGACAGATTATATTATTTGCATTTTTATTTTTACTTGACATTGTTATCCAATGTTTTATCACCTTATAGTTTAACAATATAAAGATGTAGATAATGTTTCTTTTTATTTGCAAATTCAATGTTGTTTTATAATTTTCTTTTTACGATACGTAATAATGTAGGTAATGGTTTTTCTCCTAATAAGTAATTGTCTTAGAAATACTGTTTCATACCAAAATAGTCAAACAAGTGCTGTGACACGTAAAATAAAATATTATGTTTTATTTTGTAAGCCTTTATAGATAGGTAATAAGCAAGTAGATATATCTCGTGGTAAAGTTTAAACTCTTTTCGTTGATAAACTTAATAGAATTCTTCAAATTTGGATAAATACATGAATAGTTCAGCCAAATTTAACGAATGCGGAGCGGTCACGAATATGCGTTTTTAGGAGTCTTTCTTGCGGAAAAAAGCTGAATATCGGCCTCTAAAAGTTAAAGCGGTTATGTATGTTTATAAAAACAATAATAGGTATACTCATATAATTTAAAATATCCAAGGAATGTTTACCGACTATCATGAAAAAACAATAATGAAGAAGTTTCATAAAGCTCGAATAAATTAAATGTCAGCTGATTTTAAAATCTTTAATAATATTAAATAGCCTCATATAAAAAATATATAAATTTCGAACATACGTACATAGATGAATTTAAGTCATTCATAATAAGATTTTGACAGATAAGAATAAAAGTTGGTCTACAGAACCTTATAATCTGACTTATCTAAATGTTTTCTCAACTTTTGTCGCAAGTTTTTACTACAAGTAGAGTATACTATGCAGAACGCTTTATCAATTAGCTGGCTACGTGATAGCGAGGTTGGTGCCAGGTACGGCGGCCTTGCGACCGTGTGGTCGTTGTATCGTTTACAGATATTACCGACGCGATATTGAAGTTTCAATGTGTATTTGTAAATAGAAATAGCACTAGACCTCAAATATATATTATCTGTGCCGGTGGTATCAGTTTAATGTATTTCAAGAGGTTTTATATTTAGAATCATCGGCGTCATCGATGAAGTTTTAAGGACAAAAATATTTAAAAATGTTTTAGTTCTTTATAAATTTTCGATGAATAACAATATTTCTTTGTATTTAAATTATTACTTGAAGTTTATTGAGTACCTATTAAATGTACCTAGCACCTACATTCTTGGCGCGAAAATGGCCAAACGAATCAAATGATGATTCTTTTCATCTTTACAAAACAATCCCAAACAAAAAGTTTTCTAGCTAATTTGAAAGCTCCTAAGTAAGAAGTAATTTGAATAAAAATAACTCCTATTAACAATAAAAAAATAATTAAATAAGATAATTCTTTTCTCATCTCATCTTATTAGATAACAGCAAAACAACAAGCTAAGATATACATAAGGTTTGAAAAAGATTAAGTAGATCATAGATTATATAATGTATCCAGGTCAAATGGCAGGTGTCACGGTCAGATGCTCTGATAACTGACACGCTTTTTACATAATAAATAACCCATAGAAACCATTCTTATTTAAATTTTATTTTTATGTCAATTTCGATCTCTATTTAAATTGACGGATCCGTGATTTTACTATGGACTTGACATTTTACAATAACGTTTAAATAAACGAAGATTGAAAGCTCTTGAAGGACACTTATGTCACGGTCAATGTATTCAACTTAATTATTATGTAGTTTTCCTTAATAATTGTTCTGAGATATTTCAAAGGTAAGTTAATAATGCTCGAAATGAGAACTAAACCTTGTGTTAATAAACAAAACTTTTTATTGTTCAGGAAAATGATTAAGGTCATAGCTACTTAGTTGTTCAAAGATTAACAATAGTTTAAAATATAACTGTCAACAATAATGGTAATTGGTAACAACATATTATGTAAGTAAGTTTCAAGATAAATTGGAGGCAAATAATAATATTTTTGTCTTCTTGTTTCTTTCTTTTAACATATTATGTTAGTTTAGATTTATATCTATTTTAAGAAAACTAATGAAGTAGAAACAATCGCGTCAAAACTATTCTTGTGTTTTATTTCTTTTACAGAATTCAGTTAAAATTATATGAGTTTTATTTTAACATAATATTGCCATAAAATATGAAATAAGATATATTTTAAGTCCGTCCTAACAATATAGTAATACTAATAAATTGGTCCCTTACATAACACGAGATATATTTCTACGTGATTGTAGGCGATGATTGAAGCGAAACGAGATCGTGGGAATCTAACGATTTAGTTTCACTGCATAAAAATAAAACAATTGTTCGTCATTTTATCAGACGTAACTTTCCTCTATGAAACATGATATTCCTCATATTTTTTTTACAAAGTTTTTTTTTATAGAGAATATTGGCAACTAACATTTTCTATTTTAAAACTTTCCTAAAAACACTGCTTGATTTTTTTTAATTCTATCGATTTAATTTTTTGTACAGAAACGATTAAATGTCCATTAAATATGCAAAAAACCAACAATTTATTTTACATTCTTTTATAGTCGTAAACTTAATAAAATTATAAAAAGAATGAAGTTTATTAAAATATTATCAAGTACACACTAACCTTTAAAATAGAAGGTAAAATTTAAAGTAAGAAGCGGTTGACATTTCATAAATAATTTGTTTCGAAGAAAACTTTGCATTGGTATAATTGTGTAAAAATATTAATGTCACAATACAATTTTTGTTTTATAAAATCTTCATATCATAAGTAAACAAACATACCAAAGCGTTCCGTGTATGCATTTCAATTTTTTTTTAATGATAAAATCTTTCACGCAATAATTCCTATATGATTAAAATCCGCTTACCCTGGAATAAAAGATCCGTTTGTTTGAGACATATAGTTTTGCCTTTCTCGTCCATTAACATCGACCCACATTTTAATATTAACTTTGTTTATAATTTACGTTCGTAAACAAAACATGGCCCGGACGGCTGCTTAACCGCGTTTACCTTCTAGGAGTTGTATATCGTGACTACTGTGTGGATATATAAAAGTGCTTTAAGGCTCTATTAAGGGCATGCGTTGGAAAGTTTGCGCACAAACTAGCAAGAAGATGTTATTTAAGATAATTTAATGTAAATTTTGCTTACTACTTCTATTATACATATACTTATATTGTTAGCATTACAAAGTAATTGATTGGACTAAAATAAAATAAATGTGTGTTTATTTCTTCACATTGTTGTACATTTATATAAACGTATAAATAATGTATAAACAACAGCATTTATATATACATAAATAATAAAGTACTTGAAATAGCATTTTTTAAAGCAGGTACGTTATTTTGTTAGCAAATGTATCAAAACGATTAAGTGTTTATTAAAAGGCGCTTTCAGACTAAAATGAGAAAATTGTTCAATTGAATGCTGAAAAGACATGAAAGGTTTCTCCTATCGCAGTTAAGCTATTAAATTTCGACAAGTACTAATGTAAATGTAATTTTTTAATACATTTATTATATTTATAAAATAAAACTATATAATATGTAATTGGTTTATAGTAATATATTATTAGCGCAATAAGAACAAAAAGTTTTTAGAAATTATAAAAATAGTTTCAAAAGTCCTTTCATGTACTCAAAACATGTATATTTATTTACATTACACTGGATTTTTTGTAAAATTTTTCTTTCCGAAAAGTATTATCTATGATTTCGATTTCACTTTTGCTTCCATTGACAGTTGAATGAACTTTTCATTTTAGTCTGTGATGTGACAAGGATTGTTGTGAGTCAGTCTGGGCTTTTGCTTTCGGCGTTTTGTATTTTCATCGAAATTCCAACATTTTAATATCTGTACTATTGAGTACAAATAATGAAAAATGGCTATAAACTTAGAAAAACATAAACAAGCACTAGTCGACGCCTGGAAAGATGTTCTAGACGAAAAAACGGATACCAATTGGTAAGGATATTCCGTTCTTACACAACCCATTTATATAGAAATTAAATAAACATCCCTTATTAAATTCTGTATAGTATTTGACGTGGCGTAATCACTCTCCTTTAATATTATCTTGTATTGCTGAATTTTTTCTTAATACAAGAGCTGGGGGAGTTTTCTTATTACGTTGATGATAAATTTCGGAACCTATCTTACTTTATGTATTGTACGTGATAAGACTTAAATTGTGCTCGATTAAATAGAGAAAGTATTTCTAATGATCTTGGTATAAAAAAAGTAATGCTAATTACGAAAATAAAACAAACATGCCATAGAAGAAATCATGTATAAATAAGTCGTTTATTGAGTGTTACTCTTATAAATAGTTTTTTTTTATTAACTCATATTTACATACATATTTCTTACCTACCAAATATTAATTTTTGTTCCTAGTATATATCTTATAAAATTATTTGTATTTTTAACTCCTGTGTAATCAGTGATTTCAAAAATAGCAATAGAAAGTTTTATAATATGTGGTTAACTGTATTACTAATATATTCTTGACAATCATGATGACTCAAACATAAAAATCTTACATAAAAAATATACTTGATGCAAATGAAGCTTGAATTCTGTCTCACAAAGATTCATAATGCTATCTTTAAATTTATTATATTGATAAACAGATAAATAGTCAAATATTTTAAAATATATATTAATTATTTTTATGTACTCATTTTTATTATTAGGCAAAATCATATTTTATTTTATTTTCTGTCAATCAATCTAAAATGTCACTGAGAAATATATCTATTGCTTTGCTTGTGAAGCATTTTTCTGGTAATGTATGAAGGCATTTTCATTTAACATTCATTTAAAGGTAGAAACAATATAATAATTCTAGTTTTTTATTTCAAATATCACATTAATTTAGAAACTTTAGCTTATTAAATGAGCATTACATTGTTTAAACAAATTTAAGAAAATAAAAAGTTTGTATGAGATTCAGGTAATAAAATATGTTTATTTTAGACCAAGAATAAGTAAATAACCAGTTAAATGTTGCATTTCATCATTATTTTCCTTATATCAGTATTATATATAATTTTAGGGCTCTATTTGGTTACGATGGACTGACAAATGACCTCAAGCACGTTGGCAGTGGGGACGGAGGACTCACGGAGCTTATAGATGAATTTAACAGCGGCAAAATACAATATGCCTTCCTCAAAGTCGATTTACCCAATGGTAGCATATCTAAATATGTGCTTATCAATTGGCAGGTGAGTACCGATGATATATTATCTTTTATTGTAATAAATAGTATTACAATCATATTACATGTAGTAATTGTATTGATTATTCAAAATGGTTAATCTTTTACAACATTTTAATGGTTATATCAACTTGATCTAGAATTTATTAACTTTACAGTTGTTAAAATTTTTTGAACTTGATATATTACTATTGATAATACTTAGCCTCTTGTGATAAGGTAATGAAATGTACAACAGAAAGTTTTCCTTCATGATAAATTAAATATATTTATAGCTAAAAAATTTTGTATGTATTTTGGGTTCTGATTGAAGCACATATAAATGACAAATTGACTGGATAAAAAGATGTAGTATTTTGCTTATGTAGGGCTATAAATGAGAATTTACTCATTGTTAAATATTTAACATAACAAATTAATGTTCATATTAAGTCATACAAATAATAGTGTGAATATAATAATACATCTCTGGCCTATGTTATCTTGTAATTGTGTTATAAATAGTAGTAAACAATATTGGTTTGAACGATCTTAAAGACACATACATTACATCAATATATTATGTACAATATATTGTTTCAATTTGAATTGCTGACGGTTTATTTAAAATGATTTCATTACCATTGCTTATATTGATATGATTCATACAGTGAGATCAGATCCAGAATTACTATTTAATTAATGAAATGTATGCATTCAATTTTATTACATGAATTGTTTGAGGTTCTTTTGATATTATATGGTCATATCAAAAGAACCAAGCCAAGCTAAACTTAGTATTATGTTATGGACCTAGTTTCCATGTATATGTTGTGGCAAATGTACTATATTATATTTTTGCAAAGGTAATTAGTCTCAAATTGTGTTCATTTTAAGAAGTTATTTCACTAATGTTGGGTTTAAACTATTAATTACAACTTAGATTTAGTTTTATGTAATTTTTAAGGAATTTTGAGTACTTTAGAAATGGTTTTGATTTAAATTTTATATTATTGTGAATCTCTCTGGCTGCTCTAGAACTTTCTTTACTTAAAGACTGACAGACAAAAATATTTAAGAAGACACATGTTATCGTATACTGTCACTAACTTTATTTATTTTCATTTTGAGGTAAAAAAAAACATTTTTTTATGTAAATGTTAAAACTTGAAATAATTTGTAATTTATTCGAAACATATGATTACGAATACTTTAATTCACTTAATTCAATATTATATCGGGATCAAAACCAATAACCGCGGTCTGAAAACGCGGTTCCCATTTTAAATGATGTTAAAAGAAAATTAATTAATCCTTATTAATAACCTTTATCGTCATTAATGTTCTAGAATTTTAATAAAATGTCTTTGATTCTTTTATATCAACATGTTTAAATGACTTATAATAATTAATATCTTGTTCACTGATATTATAAATTTGAATTAAAAATCGTGATATAAACTTTATATGGCAACTTTCATTTAATTTACTGTAGATAGAATGTAAATCAAATTCCATGACTTTGCTTGGACCCAAGAAATCGTCGCATAGAATTGGTGATTTTTAATCCATTCAAAATTCCTTGCTTTTATAAATTCTGTACAAATTTTTATTATAAAACTTTCACGAGAAAATTTAATATAGAAAATGAAGTAAATTATAGCCATCAAAGAAATCAATAATTAATTACTGTAAGCCAAAATCCGATATTCTTTTAATATCCTGTTTCTATTTTCGCAATTAAATACTGTATAAGTCTTTTATATTATGTATTAACTGTAAAATTTTAATTTTAAAGAATATATGTTTTTTGACTAGGGTGAAGGCGCACCGACTGTAAGAAAAGGGACATGCGCTAATCATATCAAGCATGTGTCTCAGTTGTTCAACGGTTTCCATGCAACCATGCATGCGAGGACCGAAGACGATTTGGATGAGAAGATCATATTGGATAAACTGGCAAAAGCCGGTTCAGCATTCAACTTTAAGTCTAGAACCGAGGAATTACCGCCCAGTGGACCTATTGGGACCACGTATAAGAAAGTTAATCCTGGTAAGTGGAATTTTATTTCAATGTTTTTGATTTTTTAAGGGATGTACTTGTTGTGGAATGTTCCTGAATTTGTGATAAAATTTCGATTCGATAAAGTCGATTTTTTTGGTCACAAAGACGTCAAACATTCAGTTGCACAGGCTTTGAATATATCAACTTTAATAATTATATTTAGCAGTTTTGTTAAATTAATTTTATCTTGACAATATCCTGGGTATCAAATATAGAAAATATAGAAATTGTGATACCTTTTATGACGGAAATTATAGCCTCACTTAATCGATAGGCTTAAGTGGTAGGAACTGTCTAGAAACGTGCCAAAATATACTATTGTTTGCCATACCGGTAAGAATGCAACGATCGCTCGCTAGCATTGTGTGGTAATGTCAGTGTGTAGTATACAGTAACGACACATTCACCGAACATACTCGATACACTAAACGTAAGAAATGAATAATGGTTTCTCGAAACACGATGTGTTGTTATCAAGGAAAGCTGGAGATGAGATTAGGACGAGGAAGAAAAGTTTACGGAGAGGTTTTTGTATTTATTTATATATGAACATACAATTCTATTAAAAGAACAGAATTTTTGTAATATTAATACTTAATAAGTATACATTTTTAGTATGTGGAATATTAATTGTATGTTTTATAGTTCAAGAAATCAATTCCAAAGAAAGGGACCAGTTTTGGATGAAAGAAGAATTAGAAGAGAAGAGAAGGATTGAAGCGGAGAGGAAAAGGAGGGAAGAGGTAATGTTAATTATTGATTTTGTTAAGGCTATTTTTTCATATAAGAAAATATGTAGTTGTATATAAGATTATGGTGTTTGATATAAAACTATGATTTATTTGTATTATTTTAAAGTATTGGAACTTATATTCAGAATGATAGTTACAGTCATTGTGCTAAAAAATATTTTTGTTAGTAATTTTTGGAAATTTGATTTCTAGGAAAAGAAAAAAGGTGAAGAAGAATTAAGAAGAAGAGATGAATTAGAGGCTGCAAAGAGAGCGCAAACGGAACAACAAAAGTATGTATAGATTTAAAATATTTTTGACTTTTCGTATTATGTATTTTTGGTCGTCTAACTCTTTCGAGTAAGTGTCTTTCCCATAAAATGTAATAATCATTATAAGTGTGTGACGTATATTTTTTTTTGTAAATTTTCAACGCAATTTTTAATTGAAAAATTTAATTTTAAGTAATTTACATATTCCACTATTAATTCTTTTAAGTTTAGGTAAAATATTTCTAAAAATAAAATGTTAATACATTTAAAAAATTACCTTTAATCTTTAAAAAGTTTTGTGGTGTGACTACATACTTTAATTTTAATATAAAATTATTATTATCTATACTTATTATATACTTATTTGTCCTAACTTTATTCAGGCCCCCTGTATCAGACGCGGAGGGCCTTCGTCGACAGAGGTCTCAAGAAGCTCGGGCCCTCATAGGGGCCTCAACCGCCGCTGCCAGGGCTGTGTTCCAGGAACATTTAGCGCAGGGCCAACGGGCTACCAAGTGAGGCTTAAAAAATAATTAGACAACCCTATAATTTCATAGAAAAAAATATTAAAATCAATTTGTAGACTGTTAAATGGAATATATTAATTAAAACAAAACTGCAATCTAATATTTAGGATCGTTATTTTTTTTGGTCATCGTCTATTTCAGTGTTTTTTCGATCTTTTTGATATCGCGACCCCTTTATTGCCATAGATAGGCAAAGAAATTATTAAATTAAAAGTCTAAGTTAAAGATGGTGGTTAAATTTTCTGCTATGGTGGACATCGAAACAAAAAAGAAAAATATAATTAAATTTTAAGCTGTTTTAATGGTTAATATTTCAAAAATAGCACCACGACATGCGTTTGAAAAATAAATAGCCCATCCTTCTCATTAAGATTTGGTTTTTATTGTAGTGTAGAATATTAACTTTTTCTTTTTGCCGGTAACCCACCGACCAATTTTTGACCGACCGACTGACCCACAAATTGAAAAACACTGTTCTATTGGTTTAAATTTAAAATAATGGAATAAATTCTCTTTTAAAACTATTTATTTCTTCTAATAATGTTCCTAACCTCTTCCAGGTCAAACTCAGTACCAGAGAAGCCAATCAGAAGTTCAGTGATAGCGCAAAGAATAAACACATTCTCTCAGAATACGTCACAAACGACTGCCATACCCAAGACTCCACCGGCGAAACAATCAGAAACAAACAAAGAAACAGAAAACAAAGACACTCTCAGCGAAGAAAATGTACCACCAACAAAAACAAGTCCGCTCAAAAACATTGATAAGATAAAAATGAGTCTAGAAAGTCCTTCGCAGATACAACACGAACCGATCATTGACCCCACGGATTTGAGTCCTAGTACAGAAAACGAACCCGGGTCCTTCAGTTCAATAAGTTACACCGAATACAACAAGCAGAGTGAGCCGATCATAAAACAGAATATTCTAGAAAATGACATGTTCGACGCATACTACAGTTCTAACGAAAACGATGATGAGGACAGCGATAATAAGTTCAGCACGATCAAGAGGTCGCCTTACACTAAGAACGGGGACAGGGAATTAAGCAGGCAGGATACTGTTATAGAGAATGTTCACTATAAAGAGAATGGTACCACCGATGTTGAAGGTAGGTGTATATACGTCAATACTATTTGATATTACAGAATACTTTGATTCAGTCAGACTCAGGTGAATACTAATTGATAATTTTGCTTTTTATATTAAAATTCATCAAGCTTAAAAGTGTGGAAATAAATAGAATAATGACTATTGATCTACTAATATTATTATAATTGCAAAAGTTTGGGAGTGTGTGTGTTTGTTACTTCTTCACGCTCAAACGGCTGAACCGATTTTGATAAAATCTTGTATACAGAAAGCTGACGTCCAGGAATAACACATAGGCTACTTTACATCCCGGAAATCAGCGGGTAATACCGCGGAGCGCAGCTAGTATTATATATTTTTAGTCTACATTGATTATTCTAGGGTATTCTGGAAGTTTCCAATCAATTTAAATCCATTTTTCAATCATTTTTGTATGTATATTCCAGATGTTTCCCCCGAGGGTATGGAGGAAAGCACTATATATGAAGACCTGGACGATGACCCTGGACTGTCAGCCAGAGCACTATATGACTATCAGGCTGGTTTGTATATATAAATATATATGCATATTAAATACATATAGGCAATTTTCTAAGCAAGAGACTTCTTACTAGGCTTGGCTGAATTTCACTAAAACCCAAATTTAATATTAACCCACTATACTGGGTAATAAAATTTAAATTTATATACAAAATTAACTTTAATTTCTTTTAGTACTTTGAACTCTAGGTTTGTTTCATTTCTGGTTTCTCTTTCAACTAGAACCTCTTTTAAAACTTTCTTCTAGTCCCCTTACTTTTTGCTATTCATAACCATTCCAGATGCTCTGATTAAATCATTTTCTCAAATCTTCGCATTTCTTCTCTTATTTATCTGCTATCTGGAATATGATTAGACAATTCTAGTCCATTTCCTGTTATCATAAATATGACGCAGATTTATGAATTTAAAGAGTATTTCAATAAAAAGTTTTTATATATAATTAATTCATATGTATGTGATTACAGCTGATGAGTCAGAGATCACATTTGATCCGGGTGATGTGATCACACATATTGAGCAAGTGGACGCTGGCTGGTGGCAAGGTCTCGGGCCAAGGGGACACTTTGGACTCTTCCCAGCTAATTATGTGGAACTATTGCCTCCACCGCGCTAGGTAAGGGTACAAATAGTTCGTATACTATAAGGGTACAAATAGTTCGTATACTATATTCGCGAATTTTAAAGCGCGTCGTGATGATAGAGCTTAAGGTTCCTTGGGAAACCAACATCCCAAAGACCATGCCATCAAGGTTAATAAATATTACGAGCTCATTAACTAACTTATTCGAAATAAGTTCGTCGTGGATTTGTACGCGGTAGAAGTGGTAGCGAGAGCTTGATAGTTTTTTTGACTAAGGAGGTATACAGGGTGACTGGTGAATAACTATCGATATTTGAGGACGTGATATTTGACGATCATATATGACAAAATAAAAATTAATATAACATAAATTTTTATTAACTTCTAAGTAAAGTTAACCAAAAGTTATGTAATTAATTACGCATCGTGTGAACACCTTACAGATTAGGTACACACACACACGCGTGCGGCGGCGTGGTGTTGTACAGCACGCCGCCGCACTTTTTCCACACTTGGAACGTGTCCACACTTTATTTATTTATACGGAAATTTGGTAAAAAATGAGAGGCGGGCCTTTTTATCACAAGGCCACCACTGACTTACACTGACTTATACGCTCAACTACTTATAGCCGGTTATAATATATTCGGATGGATACATTAAAAATATATTTGGTTATTATCATTACTTATACTAACATTTATATTTTATACAGGGTGACTGGTGAATTACTACCAATATTTAAGGAGAATACTCGGTACATGATTCTCATTCGAATTATGTAAAAAAATAGGTACTTAATTTTGGACCAAATTTCCGTATAAATAAATAAAGTGTGGACACGTTCCAAGTGTGGAAAAAGTGCGGCGGCGTGCTGTACAACACCACGCCGCCGCACGCGTGTGTGTGTGTACCTAATCTGTAAGGTGTTCACACGATGCGTAATTAATTACATAACTTTTGGTTAACTTTACTTAGAAGTTTATTAATATTTATGTTATATTAATTTTTATTTTGTCATATATGATCGTCAAATATCACGTCCTCAAGTATCGATAGTAATTCACCAGTCACCGTGTATATAACAATTTCGTGTCACTTGTTTGTCCGCGATGGACTCCTAAACTACTAAACCGATTTTAAATTTGATTTGCATTCCGTGTGCATTTTGATCTAACTTCAAAGATAGGATAGCTTACATCTTTATTTATAGTCACAATATTATTTTATTGCAAATTATTTGTCTATTAACGAAAATTATTTGTCATTATTACATTTATCTGTAGATTGAGATAAGTATTCAATAGATGGCGCTATGTTAAAAATACAAACGTCGTATATGTGCGACTATTTAAATAGACTAATTAATAATAGCATAGCCACCACGTGTTTCTGAGGCTAAGTAAGGTATAACCTAAATTTATTTGTTAAAAAAACGTGAGATATTTTTTGATTATAAGGCGATACGAAGTTCGCCGGGTCTTCTAGTAGTATAATAAAATTTAATGAATATTTTATAAATTTTTCAGATAATTTTCTAACAACACCTACATTTGGATGTCGGCCGCTACTCAGACAAGTTTGACACAAGGATACTTGCTATCAAAACATTTACACTAAATCTTGGTTTAGTATTGAGTTAATATAATGTATTACAGCAACAAAAGTCATTTACTATCAGCTATGTACGTTTTAGTATTATATTTTTTTTTATAAAAACCAATCTATACATTATATATTAAGTTTTTAGAATTATAAATGTGGCGTCAGCAGCAATAAAATATTGTCTTTATTTTCATATTAAGATTTTAAACTGACTTATGCTTCGTATTAATTATCATAATTTTATTATTATTATTTTCGGACTTTTTGCATTTATTAATTAAATGAAAGATTTTTTAAAATCTCTGGAACGGTCCAGATGTTGTCGCAGCTAAAGTGGTCTATAACTTGTTATATTTTAGTTACATAAAATTCTTTTCGATCTCTTAATAGAAATTACATATTAGTTATCGCTACTTAATAATTAGTGCTTGATGAAAATTATTATTAACATACTTTTTAGATTTAAAAAATGTACTTGATATTCGAACTTTTTGAATAGACTGACTAAAAATCAGAACTGTCCTTATGACGTTTTAAATTTAAAAAATCTTTAAAATCTAAAATGTTCTGTCTACATATTTGAATCTGTGTTTAATCTTAAAATTCGACTCATAGGATATTTTTCCTATTAGTATTTCTTTCCTATAGCTTTTATTCTGATAGAATAATTATAGACCTTGTTGAATGTATGTGACTTGTAACCTTTAGAAACCAATTATATCCTCGAAATTGTGTCTTAGTAGTGCCAAAATGATTTTTACCCAATTTTGTACGATTTTGTATGTAATATTATAAAAATCGGGCCTCATATTACAAAATTTAAAAAAAATCGTGATCAGTGAAAAGCCCCATTTAAAATTTTTATTAGTATTATACCCTATCTAGACTAAAGTTTTTTAGACTTTTTAGAATATTAAATCTTGAACAGACAAGACATAGGCTTAAACCTGTAATCAATTTATTTAATCACATTATCATTTTAATTCCTAAGTCGCAGGTCACAAATAAATGTACTGATATATATAAAAAGAAAAAAAACATGTACAGCATTTTAGTTTACATTTAGTGGTAGCTTGTTAAGTTGATATATTTAGTGCAATTATGAATGTTTGATTAGAACTATTATTATTATTATTGTTTTTTCATAGATGATAATAAATAGCTTACTGAATATAGCTTTAAATTTTTATCATTATGTACTTTCTTTACATGATTATTATTTGTTTGACATTTATTCTTTTTATTCAATAACAATGATAATAATCTATATTACCTAATTTATAAACGACAATATTTTTTCTGAATATACTTGTTTTAAAGCGTTTTGCTTGTTCCGATGTATTCAATGGGAATCTTAATATTTTGTTGGTGATTATTATATTGATGTAACCGGTTGTATATCTGTATGTATGTTTGTAACGTTGCATTCCCACGTTGTATGGTGCTCCATTGTATTGTAACATAGCTGTACATTCGTAACCTATTTTCGAATAAACTGAGCTAGATATGGGTTCATTTTATTTACATCATATCCTATATATGTTTTTTTTTTATCATCTAAATTATTTGCTTATTGAATCCCTACTAATATTATAAATGCGAAATTAATTGTCTGTCTGTTACGCTTTTACGCCTAAACCACTGAACTGATTTTAATGAAATTTAGTACAGAGATAGAGTTGACCTTGGGAAAGAACATAGGATAGTTTTTACCCCAGTCTTTGAAAGGTTCTCTTGGAAACGCGATATAACCGAACTCAACGCGGGCGAAGCTGCGGGCAGAAAGCTAGTAACAAATAAAACTGATTTTTTCGGTAATTACGCGGTTTTTGTTATTTTAAACTACATACTCCTAACGTTTCGGTTTCTGCAAAGTACATCTGAAAATATTAGTTTTATTTTAATGAATATTCATTTGAAAGTCTTAGATATCATTGAATAACAAATTTTACAATACTTGTTAATAATATCTTTTGTAACAAATAGTTGGACGTAATAGTTACTTTATATAGATTGTTCTATATCATTTATTGTCTTTATTACAAGTATTTTTCTAAATAAAAAAAAAATAATGGCTTATTCCAGAAAATGTTATTGAGTTAAAAAAATAATAACGGGAATTGCTTTTAACTGATTTTTTCCGAATAAAAAACAAATGGCTCAAAAATGCACAAGAGGTGTAAGCATTAAGTAACAGTATGCTGTTCAAATATTTATTATAATAAAAATTAATTTCATTTCCAACATTTAACAAACGAAAACTTATCCCGAAGTTTTACTAAGTAATATCAGTAGTTTCATCTTAGAATATCTGAAAACACGCCGTGTCTCGGAAGAGGGATCTTGTTGACAACGTCGGGGACCACCTGCAAGAGAAAGTATTATTAAAACACTTAAATGATTTAAAATCTTTACTACTCTATAGCATATTAATGTTATAATGTATAAGGTAAATATACACTTCAGTACACTGCGGTATATTTTGATATATGTAGTTTTGAAATATAATACATATATATTTAAATAGTGTTTATCATAAATTTGAAGATGAAAATAATTTTACTAGGTTCAAAGTAGTTCTTAAAACAAATTATAAAACGTAGCTAATTAATGAGTTTAAAATTACAGGTTTTCGTATTATTTTACCGTTTATATGAAGAATCTTATCGACCAGTTATTTTATTTCTTTATCTTTAATCTTTCTTTCGTGGTTTTTATAAAATCATTTTCTGTGACTAATAATAATTTAAACGCAATCGTTGTTAATTGTTTGTGTCCTTTTCTACATGATATTGACTTATCTTAATACAACGTATAATCAATATGTACGGAAATAATTGCAAAAATTAGTTCAATGTATAATTCGTCAGTTTCAAAATTGACTCCCAAAAACATTAGCATAATAAAATCTGATTATCATTAAGTCCAGATTTAACTATAAATTAAATGGACTATACATATAATATGTTCCAAATTATTATGAATAATAATAATATTATATTTATCTTCTTCTTTTACATGGCAATGTCCCAGCTTTAGCCAGGATCTGCCTTACATGTTGTGAATAGTTTTGGCTAACTGTTTTTACGACCGGCCGCCTGCCTGATATCAACCCTCTTTTAAGAATGCTTTAATCAGTGATGTCCAAATAGGTACTCTGAGAAAGTACATATGACATTATACAAAAATCACATTGGTATGTATATGTAGTGCGTTTGATTTAAGCTGAGCTTTGCATTTGTGTAAGTGTACACGGATAGTGTAGGTGTGATGTCAAATTTTTGAATGCCACGTTCTTTTCTAGGTTTGAACCGGTTTATACTGCTTTTACTTCGCCCCGCACCTTCCTCACTTCACCCTTTGTACTGGTAGCAACGTCATATGTTAAAAATGCAATGTCAAATGAAGAAGAATTTGTATTGTTTTATATCATTAATATATAATAATTTTATATCATTAATATTTCCATCTGAACTTTTACACGTTTCGCTTATTTTATTTTTAATCTAGAATAGCTCTAGCAATTACGTTATGTATCGATAAAATATAATAAAATTGAATTCTTAAAGTTTTTTGTCTAACTCTACCTTTACTTTCACTCACACCAATGCAAATCTCAGCTTAAGTCTAACGGACTATACTTGCCAGGATCGAACCCGCGCTTCATGCATGAGATGCGGGCCTTTTAACCACTAGGCTGCCACTGACTTAATTACTTAATTATAAGTAATATTATATTCATCATCGTATGTACCTTAACCCTTATCTCCCGTGGCAGAAACTGGTGACAGAACTCGTAGAAGTCGAAGTGTGTCTTGACCAGCTCGAGCCTGGCCATCTCGTGTTTGAGGTCGTTGACCCCCTCCAGCCGCGGCTTGTCGTGTCTCCTCACTTCTTTGGTCAACGTGTATATACATTCCACTAGCTTCTCAGCTCGAATACGAGCTTTATAGTCGTATCTGTAGAGTATAAGAATAATTTTAATTGATATTCAAATAACATTTTGCCTTAATCTAGATTTAATTTTCACTTACATCTATTAGACTAAAACAATTTTTTTTCTAATTAAAATTGTATGGAATAGGATGATAATTCTTGATTACGATTTATATTTAAAAAAAAAATACATTGTTATGATATTTTTTTTGCTCGGTAGATTAAGGTTTTCTTTAAATGCCCTCTATAGATGTGAATTTTAAGAATCTATTGGGTAATATTGTATCAAGTAACGGTTTTCAATATATGTATTTCTATAACAGACTATAAGGGAAATATTACTAATATCACAAGTTAGACTCAGAACGTTACATGAGATTTAAATATATCCCTACTAATATTATAAATGTGAAAGTAACTCTGTCTGTCTGTTTGTTACACTTTCACGCCTAAACCACTAAACGGATTTTAATGAAATTTGTACAGAGATAGAGTTGACCTTGAGGAAGACCATAGGGTAGTTTTTATCATAGACTTTTGAAAGGTCCTCTTGGAAACGCGATATAACCGAACTCCACGCGGGCGAAGCTGCGGGCGAAAAGCTAGTCAATTAATAATTTCAATAACTCACTTGGGCTCTAGTTTAGTTTCCAGATACTTATACAGTCGTTTAGTGATCCATGACGCGTTAGCTGGCTGGAATCTTTTCGGCGGCTTGTATTGTATGTCCTCTCTAACCTCGGCGGGCAGTAAGTCTAGTGATTTAATTTGTTTAACTTTCGGTTTTTGTACTTTAACGATTTTTTTAACCGGTTTCTGTGGCACCTTGAAGAGATTGAAGTTGTCCCTTCTCGGTACTTTAAGGGAATTCCTAACCTCTTCTTCCTGAAAATTGATAACGTGCAATATTAAATACAAAAATGATAATCGAAATTGCTATTTCTAGAACGTTTACGAACCATTTTCCGTTTCCTCTCAGCGTTGTCTTGTTTTATTTTCTGTAAGTATGTTTCTAGTGTGGTCTGCCTCGTATGTTTTGATACTTCGTGATTTGTTTCGTCTTTCGTCACTTCTCCCACATCTTGAGCTCCAGTGTATGAAATATTTTCCATAATTTCATCTCTTTGGTCACTTGTTACTTCCTCGTCATATGATTCATCTTGTTCTTGATTATCTAATTGTTCAGCTGATACTTCTTCATCTGAATCTTTATTCTCCAATTCCCTAGCTGATTCTTCATCAGACTGGTCGGCTGTTACTTCATTATCTTGTTCTTCTTCATCAGACTGGTCATTTGATTCTTCTTCATCGTGATCTTTATTCTCCAATTGTCCAGTCGATACTTCATCAGACTGGTCGGCTGTTACTTCATTATCTTGTTCTTCTCCATCAGACTGATCATCTGATTCTTCTTCATCGTGTTCTTTATCCTCCAATTGTCCAGCTGATACTTCATTTGACTGGTCAGCTGTTACTTCATTATCTTGTTCTTGAACATCCAATTGCTCAGCAGACATATCTTTGTTTTGTTCGTCTTCCTCCGATTGTCTAGATGGTTCCCCTTCAACCATTTCTTCAGTTGGATCTTGGTGTTTTTCCTCCTTATCTGATTCGTCAGCTGAAGTCTCTTTGTTTTCGTCTCCATCAGCCAATTGGTCAGACCTAATATCATCGTTCTGTTCGTCCAATTGTTTTTCTTCATTTTGTACTGATTCAACACTTTCTTCAACTTGTAACGGTTCTGGTTCCTGATATGAATGGAATTCATCCTGAACTTCCCCGTAGGCAGTTGAGCGAGCTTGAGGGCTTTTTGTTTTTTTATCGACCTCATTGAAATTAGCGGCTTGTAGTTTAGCCGTTTTCTCCATAACTAGAGCTCTTAACGATTTCCTTGGAGTGAAATCTTTGCCGAATGTTTGTCTTAATGTTTTTCTAGTAGTTCTGTGAGAGTCCCAACCGGATGCGTCTGCGCTAGAATCTCTAGTTCCATCAGAAAATCCAATACTCTCTCTGACCGGGGCTAGACTGTGTCTTATAGTTTTATTCTTAAATATTATACTCTTAGTTTCCCCAACACTTGTATTCCTACGCTGAACCGTAAACGAATCTATATCACGTGTTTTATCATGTAAGATAACTTCTGGAGATTTCACTTGTGTATCTTCCTTCTTCTTGTGGCTTACATTCGGTGAACTTATTCTGCTACTGATGTTTTTGGTATTTCGTTTTTTATTAGATTTTTGGTTCTTTATACTTTCGTTGATATCTTTAGCATTTTGTTTTTCTTCATTTTCATCTAATGCGTTATTGTCTTCTATTGGTTCATCTGGAATGTTCTGATCGTTATTTTCTTCAACAAGAGTCGCATCCTTTTGTTTTTCTTTCGTATCAGTATTAACTTCAGATTCTATAGTTCGGCTTTCCACTTCATCCACAGTATATTTTTCTTTTCCATGCTTATTAGATTCATTAAGCGAAATACTTTTCTCTACAGCCATATTGCTTCTGCGTTTTGAAGTTTTACTATCATTTAAAACTGTACTTTTATTTTTCGATGAGTTATGTATTGATTTATTTCTGTCGCTTTCTTTTTCCTTATCAGCTATAACACTTTTATTTTTATTAGGTAGCAATTCATCTTGTATAAGTGCGCTTTGATTTTTTACAAAGCTTTTATCACGTGTTTTGGTTTTAGAGACCTCAATAATTTCATCATTATTCACATCATTCTGGCTCTGCAATGATTTTTCAACAGATTTTTGGTGAATAACATGTATTTCTGTTGTCTTTTTACTATTCAACTGACTTACTGCAATATTATTGTCTACTTCATCAATATTAAGTGTGTTAGGATTTTTCTTTTCTGGACTCTTATTGATATTTTCTTCATCATTATCATATTCTAATGTAAAATCTTCATCGTTTTCTTCTAAGTTATTTTGCACTTGTTCCGTATTTTCTATGTTTTGGACTGTTTTAACAGATTTTGATGTATTAATATTCTTATTGGGTGTTTGTTCTTTGCTCTTATTTATAGTGTTAGGAGTTCTAGGGACAGTTACGGAATTTTCCTTTAATGATTGACTTCTTGTAACTCTACTAGTATTTAAAGAACTATTTTGTGGTTTAACATTAATTTCATTGACTTCATCATCGTCAGAAAAATTGTGTTTAGATGCATTCTTGGATTTATTTTGTTTGTAAGTCGATGTATTCGGTGTAGCGGTTTTTACGGGAGTATTGCTATGAATATTTCTAGTTTCCTTGGATTCAGTTTCATTTAATTTCAATCTCTTTACTGGAGATTCTTCCAGTAAATTTTCAACCATAGTTGATGATGGTAGAAGTCTCCAATCATCAATTTCTAAATCTATACTTGATGTCGGTGAATGACGTGACATTGAGCTAGCTCGTCTTTTCTGTTCATTTTTCTTTTGAAATCCAAACACTCTAGGTTGTATCTCCGGTATTTCATCCTCACTTTCAGATACAATGAAGTCGGCAAACATATTCCTACGTTTGGACCCTTGTCGACCACCAAATAAACTGCGAACCTGTCCTTTAATCTCTGCCGGTGGTAATTCTTTAGTTTTATTCATAGTTTTATTTGCTGAAACATTAAGCAAGGCAGATGGAAACACTGGTTTCGTCCTTGGTTTAGATGGTTGATTGAATAGATTTTTAGACCCTTTATTAATTTCATTGTCTTGATCTGCTTGACTTTTATCATGTTTATTTGAGGGATCACGGCTGTTCATAATTTTCCCAAATTTCTGTTTAGGCTTGTTATCGACTTGTGTGAATATCTTTCTCTGAGGTATAATTATGCTGTTAATTGATTCACCATCGCTGCTCTCTGGTAAGTCTAATGAGTAGTTTTTCTTTTCTTGGCTGAAATGAGAAATATTTTTTTTTAATATTTAATTTCAACTTCGAACTTAAATAAAATATTACAAAACAATAATAACAATCAGTAGTTTTTAAGATAAAATGATTTTTAATATATTCTTTTTAAGGTAAATAAAGATCAATAAATATTATTCAGTCTGTATTGTTATTCTCAAAAAAAAATTCAAGATCTTTTAACACCAGCCCTATTAAATTCTAAAACAAAACTGAATAACTTAAGCATAGATATTTAAACACACCTATTTTATGAGACGCTGCTCAAAAATTAAAGCACTTTTCTGCGACTTATATTAATCACCGCATGTGATATCTAAAACTTTGTATGTTTTTTACATTACTTATACTCACTCAGTATTGTTAAATAATAATATGATGTCAAGTGTAATGTAGGTAGATCACTTTATTATATATAGTTCTACCATTCGGTCTCGCTACTTAGCACAACACATACATTACAAATTTAAAATAGTTTTATTGGATACTTCAGTATGTATGTTATTAATTACCTCAAAACTTCCACATCAAATTCATCAGCTATATTATTTACTTCAACCAAGTCTTTGCTTTCTAACAGTTCTTGAACATCTCTTGAGTTATCGTCAATTTTCTTCCACCAACTCCTACCTGAAATAATTGTCATATAATCAGTTAGGCCATGCAATATAAACAATTTGTCAATTTTATAAATTATTCTGTCGCATAAATTTCGCGACAATTTGTTAGGTAGTTATTTGTTTGTGGTGATGTTTTGCCTAGTTTATTTTAATTTAAACTAATAAGAAACACACTAATTTAATTTTCTTTATTTATAGAAAACTAACAAAGACAAACTAATGCACAAATGAATACATAAAATTGTATTTAAAGTTTGGGAGCAAGATGTTTGCAGAGCCGTTATGTTTAATTTCATTTCTTACTGTCTAAGTCACTGCATTTAGAAGGGATGTTTTTAGGTTTCTTGTTTGGTTAAGAAAGTTGTAGGGGTTTTATAGTATATTTTCAATATGATGATTAATGATAATAGAGGTGATAAAGATAGAGAAACATGCTTTGACAGAGAGAGATAGTCTTTTCTTAAATTATATAAAGAGTAAAATAAAACAAAAATAAAATGTTTATAGAATCATAAATTTTATGGTATGAGACAATTGTCTTGTATTGTTGTTATGCAGATGTTTTGAAAGTTACAAAAACTTTGTATTTAACAAACTTTTTATTTTACCGTATGTATGTTAGTTATTTGTATCAGTTCTGAACTAATTCATTAAGTCTTTCTATTTTATTTTCCAAACCATATTCAGAGATATTGGAAGGAATCATATAATATAACTACAAAAGACACATGTCTTTTGTAGTAACAAAATATTGTTCTAAAACCTTTTTGATAAACACTCATATAAAACTAAATATTTGTTTTTTGTCTGTTTTTGTCAGTGCTGATTTATGAAAATATCTTTAAAAAAAAATGCTTATTTGTATTAACTGTTAGCATACTTTACAATGGGTTTATAGGTCAATAACTATCTTAAGAATATTGTACACATATATCATATGAAATTAACCCAGTCATCCCTACTAATATTATAAATGCGAAAGTAACTCTGCCTGTCTGTCTGATAAGCTTTCATGCCTAAACAACTGAATTGATTTTAATGAAATTTGGTGCAGAGATAGAGTTGACCTTGAGAAAGAACATAGGATAGTTTTATCCCAGACGTTTGAAAGGTTCTCTTGGAAACGTGATATAAACGAACTCCACGCTGGTGAAGCTGCGGGTGGAAAGCTAGTGGGGTATACACAAAAGAGGCAATTGAATTTCATACTAGAAGTTCTATATGGGATGAAAATAAAAGTTAAATTACACAGTAGTAGTAAAATATACTTACGTCCTGGTATCTCAATATCTGTGTCATCATTTAGTACTGATTGCCGTTTTGGTAAAGGAGACAGTTTAAACGATTCTGATATTACGGATGTGAGACGTAAGTTCGTTCGTGCAGGAGAACCTACACTTAGAGTACGTCGAAGATGTCGCCGAGGAGTCGATATTACTCCTTGAGAACGAGCTGGTGATGGTATTCTTGAACTTGGCATTTTCTCTTCTAAAATAAAGTTACAGCATAAAATTATCATAATGTGAAGCTTTACAAGAGATCAAAAAATAGGTTACAAATTTCGATTTATAAAAGTAAAATGCCACTACACTTAATTACTTTCGAAATATTATCATACACAGTAAAAACAGTGTATAGTTACACGATTTCTTTACAAACACAAAAAACAAAGCTGTGTAGTGTCAATATTTTATGTAAAAATCATATTAATATAGTAAATTTACCTTTCAATTATACATTAAAAGTATGTTTCAATAAGTATTCATAATTATAAGCTATACTAGTTTTTTAAACTTTCATTAAATGGCACAACGCAGTTTTAAAGTAAAACAAATTTTAAACATCAACTGAACTGACATTAAGAACCGTTTCGAAAACAAAATTGATACGTTCCAATTTACGCACGTAGCTGTTGTAGTTACTTATATGGCTACAGAAGTAAATTGTAGTTTATAGCATTAAAAAAAAGATTGAGTCGACAATGGTTCATAATAAATATACTGAAGATTTACAAATCATTTTATAAACTTACATTAAAGTTCGTTGTTGAGTGTATGACAATAACAAATGAATGATGAGTAATATTTTTGGGACGCGCAGTTTTTAAATTTTATTAAAACATAAAATGTTATTAAAATATCTTATCAAAAAATTAATGGTCAATTAATTGGAACGAAACACTAAAATTGTGTATTTAACATTTTTTTATAAGGGGCCATTCAAGTATTGCGTAAGCAGATTTATTACAAATATTTGCCCCCCCATCCCCCTTGTCAGCAAAATTAAGCAAAGCTCTTACCCCTTCCCCCCATGCATACGTAAACATTTTCAATTACTGCATTGTTTTTTTTTTTAAATATAAATCCATAAAAAAAATATAATTATAATTTTATATGCATCTTCTCGATGTGACGATAAAAAAGTAAATAACTACCGATGACGTAATCATTCCCTAGACTCCCCTACCCCCCATGACATCCAAAAAAAGCAAACCAAAGCCCCCCCTCCATAGTGCTTACGTAATACTTGAACGGTCCCTAAATGTTAAAAAATAAAAAACTTCAATGTACTAAGTTGACAAAAAAACATATTTTTTACGTATGCGCTACATACGAGGAAATAAATGAACATCGCCGGGGCGACATCTTTGTGTGAGTAAAATATCATATATAACAAGTGACGCCGCTAGCTCCGCGGAACGCACACTAAGCTGTGTGAACCAGAAAATTCCTTACACCTTACAAGCAACATCGGGGCAATCATGTAGTCTTAGGTATACCCAGGTTATAAGATTTAATATGTAATTCTCTTTATAATATACATATAAGTAAGTTTCGTAGTTTTCCTAGAACCTCCTGTTGCCACCCTATATAATTTTTTGGCCAATTGACGTTAAATATCATGACGTGTGTCTGTCAAATAAGCCTTTATTTATCAAATGACTTGCCAGGTATGAAAATTATTTTACATATTTTGACATAAGTGATATACAAAAACGCCAATATGTAAGGGATATGTAATGTAATATAATATGAAAATTTTAATACTTGCAAAATATTCCTTATTTCCTTTCATAATTAAAAAATACTATAAATAATATATATATATACCGGATTTATTGCAAATTCGTTGTTTTTAAAGAGAGAGAGACGTAATAAATGTCACTTCTTCTAGAGCGTTTCATGCTATTTTAAAATGAAACTTCAATTGTTCTTAATATTCCTGTATTTCTCGAAGATTCTTCATAATCACATTCTTCAATGATACGCACTCACTGAACTCTGAATTCTTAAGTCTGCCGTCGTGCGCCCAGACGTCATATTTATACCAAGATTTAAACCTAGTTCTATTCTCCTTTTAAACAATATTTGATTTCGTTTTACTTTTAACAATAATCATGAATACTAATGAGTTTTTATAAGAATTGATGACAGCCTCAAATTATTTTTATGTCGCATCCGTTAATAAAGCTCATAGCGCCGATATACATACATATAGGGTAGGTATATATCAATATTAGACGTCTGATAGAGAAATAATTTAGAAAATATTGTCTGGATAAATATGTTTTTTAAGTGTCGTAAATTAGGGTCATACTGGAACATAATTTAAGAACATCTTGATTCTAGAACGACTAGGCTGTCAAATATAATCTTTTTACAAAAAAAAGTAATCTGTGATGATAACAAACTTCATCTCACAACAATTAATCACTTGTAAACTTTACCACTCCTTTCAAGTTGAGGCCCAGTCTAGTGGACTTTTGGTTGACCTGAAACGAGTACTGTTCAAATAGAGATAAAGTCTTTGCAAAGATTACATATACATAACGCTCTATTCATAATAAATATCGTCACATTTTTTTTATAGTAAACTATATATAACTTATATGAGGAACGTTTTTATAGCTTCTCCTAAGCTGTTCTGGCGTTCAAGTAGATTTTCTTAGATATAAAACATGCTATACACTAAATTGTTTGTGAATTTTCCTTTTTCACTGGGTAAAAATGCTTACAAAAAGTTGATTTATTTCGCAAGCTACAAGAAAAACAATTTTGTTGAAAAGTATAAAACAGAAATTGTAACACGATTGAGAATAGAAGATTGTTTTTTCATCATTTCGGTAACCAAATCATGTTAAATTTTTTTTAATAATAATAACATTTTAACACTTGAAATCCAACCCAAAGTAACCCAAAAAAATAAAAAGATTTTACGTTTTTATTTAAAAAATTGCTGAAAATATACGAGTAGGAGTAACATTATTAACACAGCATATTTTATTTTTAAGATATCCCAATTTGTATAATCCATGTTATTTTAACTCTGGTAAAACCAACACTGTGTGCTTTCAGATAACTTTGATAAAACATGCTTTGAATTAATTTAGGTTACATTATGAAAGTACGAAGAGATTTGGACGTTAGAAAAATATAACGTTAATTTAAATTTTTATAAGCTTTTTAATGGTAATATTTGTATATATTTAGTTATGTGAACAATGGCAGACACTGGCTAATGCTGGGAAACTGCGAGGAAGAAGAGTTATGGGAACTTTTAGTCCAGGAAGGAGCTAGGAAAAAATTTGGTCTCTCTCGTCAGTTTGCAACCATTACTATAGTCTCGACTTGCTTAATGCTTATGATAGGAGAAACCGGTGTTGGGGGATATTATATATCTCATTATGTCCGAAAACAAGTTCATATTTCTAATTATTATTCGTTATTTTTAGCTTCATAATCTTATATATTTAAATGAACAATTCTTTTATATTTATTAATATATGATACGAATCCATTTCGGGGGCGATAAATCTATCTAGCTAGGATCAATTTTAGAAAATGTTATTTTATTTTAAAAAAAATAACAAAAAGGTGTCGTTTAAAATATGACTCTTCCTGACATGTATTGGCGAATAGTAATACTACTTTTTACTAATTGCTTTAACGACACAACAGCAGATGGCGATGTAAAGTAACAGGAAGTCAATGAGTATTTGTTTTGAGGTTAGACTAAGAAATTAATTGTTGATTTATATTGTTTTGTGTCTTAAACGAAATAAAAAACAAACAAAATAAATACTAATAATCTCTCAATACCGAGGAGAGCTCGGTAACCGGATATTGATATACTATGAGAAAAATAATATTGGATCTTTTATATGGTTTCGACATCAAGTGATTCCAGTGATTTCTATGTCATGAAGGAAAAAGTATTCCGATCCTATAATAAAATAATAAAAATATTTCTTTATAATTTATACGTAAATATTACAGTTTTAAATTCCTTATATTTTTCTACACCCTCAACTGACACCCACCTGTTATCTCCGAAGAAAATATTAACAACTAATATTTCTTCTGATCGGCTTCAAAAAGATAACGTATCCTACTTAACTTTATATATGTATGTAATTTATACGAAGTGATTTTCATCCCAATTCTTTAAGATGTAAAGAACCCAGGTAACATGAAGGTGTTGATCTTGAGAAACAATTGATTCTTGATGTATAAATCAAATGATATACTTAACATTCGTTCTTTTAAATGTTTGTATAAGTGTTATCAAAGTTTTTTTATTTAAAAACTGGCTTTTGCTGGCAACTCCGTCCGCGTGGATATCAGGGTTGTTTTCTGGCGTCACGGTCACTGAACCCGAACTGCAATTCAAGATTCCACCCGTGTAGTTTTGGGATTGGGTCGGGTCGGATCGGGATAAAAAGCAGCCTATTCTTCTCCAAGGTTTCATCTATCTTTATACGAAATAAAATCAGTTCAGTGGTTGAGGCTTCAAAAGGTAAAGGTTTAGGCTTGAAAAGACAGATAGACAGATGGAGCTACTTTCGCATTTTTAATATTACTATTATATTGTATACAGTGATAACAAAAAAAAAATAAAGAAAATTTGTCTCTGTAATGTAGTTTGTAGTTTTGATATTTCCCAAAAAGTGATTAATTCTGTTTCAATACTACATTTTTGTTGTAACTATAATTGCCTGCGTTATTTCGAAAAAATTATAAAATCACGCTCTCTACCCTACCCATACGCGGAAAACAAAAAGAAAATTCATTACTTTGATATACTACAGAGCCTTCATAAAATACCGAGCTTACATATTCATAGCATTATGAAAAGGAAGGAATATCTCTAATTATTCTCAATATAATCTTTAAGAAACAGACGATAATAATAATATGAATCACAGGTATAGTTTTAATTAATTAGTTACCTTCAATTCTATACATACAAATAATTACATATTTTGCATCTTTCATATCGTATGTCGGTATGATCATAAGAATAATATGTGAATCGTAACTTGTAGCGCTATTTATGGAAAATGCGAAAACAGTATTTTAAATTTAAGTTATTAGGTTTTTTATTTATACATTTTTGCACATTATATCATTTACGAAATTGTCAGACAGTTTATATTGAGAAGAAGAGCAACGTGCAATTATTATTAAAATATATATTGTACAAATATGAGAGGGTATGAGAGATGCAAAACACATATACCTAAACAGTTGCCAGAGGAGATCAGGAGTCTTTCTTTTTCGATTTTTCGGAGTGTGTTTAAATCTTTCGTTTTTTTAATATTCAGATTTAATTTCACGATAAGTTTAAAAAGAAATATGTAGTTAAAGGTTAGTAATAAAACATTGTTTAAAGTTTTGTTCTAAATTAATCAATTAATAGTGACGTTGCATCGAATATTGTTTTTTAAAAAAGTCAATTCTGATCTTGTTTCTAAGAATATTATTAATTTAAAAAAAAATGTGCGTGTATTTCTTCTGCTCGGACGAAGTGAAATTTCGTAATGTGTAAATAAAAATGGGGGGAAGAGGGAGAAATAATTTTTTAATGAAGTCATAACGTTCCTTTAAGACAAACTTTATAAACATTGCTTACAATTCACAGTTGACCCACCCATTTACTCTCACTTCCTCTCCCTCTATTCCCCTCCCCAGGAGCGTTAAACGTTTAACGCAACTTTGTTCGAAATCGTATTAGAATTTTCGCTTCAAAAATAACTATTACGTACACATACTTACTGCCATGACTTTGACATATAAAATACATCAATCCGAGAAGATTAATGTGCGTGTCGTCACTAAATACTGTAAGAATATATTTTATAGTCTATTAGTGAACTTGAAATAATCAATTAATAATGGGCGTTTTTAATATATAAACAAATAAGATTATGTTTTTTAAAATATTTGAAATTCAAATGCATAAAATATATTCTACGGACATTAAACTATTTTAAATTAGAATTGGGATATATATCAACTTTAAACAAGTTGAAAATTATAAAATGAGTGAAAAGCAAAAGTTAAAACTACAGTGTTAATTCACCTCGCTATGACATTGCAAATAATAGGAAGATATGACATCAAATTATCAAATGCATAGTAGTGTCCTCTATTTATTTGTCGTGAGATAATTATGATTGTGATAAAGACTCCTTTTCAATATCGCGTGAACTGTATATATAAAGGTAAGTAATAAATACACATGTTTGTTTTGTAAATGATATAAATTGGCGCGTCTATTTACTGTTTGTTATTGTTCTTACAACTATTATGACAGTGTCTAAAGATAATGTTGCCCGCGTGGGAGAAAAGACGGTTGGTGGAAGTGTTTTTTTTAATATTTTTACTGTTTGTGTTTTGGTGATAGTGATTATAATGAGTTAAAATTTAAATGAGTTCCTTCCAATGTTAATTATTTGCTTTGGAAAGTTAATTATAACTTATCACTGTTTCAACCGAAATTGTTAGCAATTTTACACTGTTCCTAATTGCTTTTCAAACCGCGAGGGTCATTTGAAATAAAAGGGGTCGAGAGATTTTAATACACACTAAATATTTCTAGAACAATGAACAATCACTCACTTTACTCTAAAACATAATTGGAAAGCTGAAAGTCGTTATTTAATTTTTCAAATTACTACTAGTTTACTAGTACTAAACATAACAATAACATAAAGAAACAGCGTAATGGTATGTATGGTAACTGCAGTCTTGATATTCCTGTGTTGTAGAATCAAGGTTTTTTTTTGGTCAACAATGATCAATTTCATCGCCTTGTAATGTTACCATCCATGGATTATGACCTCTTAACCTCAGATTGACCGTACGCCTGTTTGTAATCGCCATAGTATAAAAAAATAATGACTTTAAAGCTTTCCTTCCAAACATCTATTTTAATTGTAGGTTAAAGATGGATTTCCGAGAATCGTTATTATCATAATACTCGCTGAATTCTGCGAACGGTTCTCATATTCAGGAATGAAAGGTGACTGTCTCAATCTTGATATCATATTGTCATTGAAAAATTTATTTTTTGTAGAAACAATTTGGAGTAGTATCATTTTAACTACGGTTACATTTTTTTATAACTGTTTAAGACTTAGATGTTTTTTTATTTATTTATTGCAATATTTTTTTTGAAGACTGATTCAGTTTAACAAAGTCAGCTACATCTTGCCTGATTGAAGTTGTAAATTTTTGTTCTAAATTCAATATTTTTATAGTTATTTAATTAAGGTTTTACTTACTGTTTAACATTTGTTCAGAAATTTTATTTCCTTTATTCCCTTTTAGCGTTCCTTACACTATATTTAAGAAGTAAGTTGGACTATTCAGACGAAAAAGCCACAGAAATCTATCATGTATTCAGCACATTTGTTTATTTGTTTCCAATTCTTGGTGGCATTCTGGCTGACAACTACCTCGGCAAATTTAAGTATGCATTTGTTTAAAGATTTATACAAATTTTTTTAAATATATTACAAGTATATTTTCTCTAATTACAGGACCATTTTATACATGATGTTTATATATGCTGCGGGAAATTTATTGGTAGCTGTGACCGCGATTCCTTTTTTGGAGATACCGAAAAGGTTAATATTTTTAAATTAAAAGTATGTAACAAATTAATCCTCTTCATTAATGTTAACGAATTACTCGGAAATAGCAAATTTTAGGATGAAAAGTAGATACGAATTGTACAAAAAAATACTTTAATTGCAATTTCAATTCATCTAGTATTAATCCCTTTTCATGTTTAAATTAATTATTAATCATCCAGTAATTAGCTCGAAAATGAGGAAAGTTGACCCAATTATGTCGAAGCGAAAAGGTAAACGGAAGCGTTTAATTACTTCCCCAAATTCAAATATTTACAATGGAGACCGCAACAAAATTAATAATATTCGTTTATTTTTATCAGAATTTTAATTTAATGTGATTAATTTATTTCAGGCTCTACACTGTTATTGGGCTTTTTCTCATTACTTTGGGCACAGGTGGTATTAAGCCCTGCGTCACAGCCTTTGGAGGTGACCAATTCGTCCTACCGCAGCAGGAGAAACAGCTGGCCCTGTACTTCAGTATTTTATATTTCAATCTATGCACTGGAAGTTTAATCGCCAAGACTGTGTCACCTATATTAAGATCTGAAGTACATTGCTTCGGCGATAAAGATTGTTATTCGTTAGCCTTCGGAGCTCCGGGATTAGTGGTATTTATTTCGATTGGTGAGTACATTGATGTTGGATTGATTTAAATAAAACGTGTATAGTATATTTTCCCAAAATTACGGTAAGAAATTGCGAGGTTTTAAGTCGTTTTCAGTACATACATTAAACTTATTATTCTATAGGTCTCTTTTTAGGTAGGTAGGTCAGTAGGTTAGTGAAGGTTTAAATATTGATTGATAATATCATAAAAATCCAGTGTCTATCCGAATATGATCCCATGGGAATATAGAAACAAATATTTGGAGTAAATATCAGGTACACAAAAATAAAAATATTAGAGGCTTGGTAACGCGATTGATAGAAATATATATACGACTAGCTTTTGCCGCGACTCCGTCCGCGTGGAATAGTGACTTACGGCAGATTTTTGGTTCTTCCCACATAGTTCCCGTTCTTGTGGGGTTTTCGGAATGGTCGAGTTCCCGTAGAATTTTCAGGATAAAACCTATGTTTTTTTTTTTTTTTCACAATGAAGTACTCTTAACCATCAACATATTTATTTGTTTATTTGAATAAAGATTAATATTATTATGTTGATCCAACACAAATTATTTCGACCAAATTAGGTACCATAAAAACGGTTTTTGTGAGTTAATCTTAAAAGATAGACATATACTGTCGTGGACTGTTTTTTAGATCATTAAAAGAGCTATTATTCTTTAATACATATTTTTTGTGTATCTTGAACCGTTTCCACGGCTCACACAACGGAAGGCTTCAAAGATGAAATAATTTCTCCCGTTTTTTACACATTTACCACTATATCTTTGCTCCTATTGGTCGTAGCGTGGTGTTATATAGCCTAAAGCCTTCCTCGATAACTGGACTATCCAACACAAAAAGAATTATTCAATTCAAACCAGTAGTTTCGGAGATTAGCGCTTTCAAACAAACAAACAAACAAACAAACAAACAAACTCTTCAGCTTTATAATATTAGTATAGATGTGGTTCGGTCGGTGTAGTGTTAAAATCTCGTTGAAAATTGACGTTTTCGGTAAAATGTTCAAAATATAAAGGCCCAAAATGCCTAAAACCTCTGCATTCAAGTATCTTTTTAAAAAATATATATATACATACTATTTTAAAAGCTTAACATCATCTTCAGCAAGCGATAAAAGTAAATAATATAAAAAATTTCACTCCGTTTTATATTTAATATACGTAGATATATTGATAATAATAAATTTAACATTCTAAAAATCAAATAAAGTGCGTAATTAAAAAAGTTTTTCTTTAAATTACAAAATTGTTACCGCAAAAAGGACAAAGTAATTTATAAATGTCGTACTAAGCAATTTTAAAATCTGTAAACGAACGACTTCAAATACCCGGACTTTAGTAAATTTTCTTTGAGTTAACCTTGAGAGAAGAGGAAAGTTGGTTGCTTTGATCTTTATCCATAATCCGGTTTCAGTTCTCTATTATTTGAGATTTTCTTTTAGAGCATTATCATTTTTTATTTTTGAATTTCTCTAAAAGTAACAGATCGCTCATAACTTTAATTGTTTCCACGAGTCAAACATGTTCGAGTATTTTCTCCGTACAGAAAATACAGTCATATTTTCCCAGAGAGGGTTGATGTCAGGCAGGCGGCCGGTCGTAAAAACGATTAGCCAAAATTATTCACAACATGTAAGGCAGACCCTGGCTAAACCTGGGAAATAACCAGGAAGAAGAAGAAGAGAAAATACAACCATATATTTTATAATAATTATTTTTTCATTAATAATAATTAATAGGAAAAGTATTGTACTTTTTTCTTGTTTTCTTTGTTACGATCAGACTTTAAACGTAGTTTAACTATTGATGTAAAATTAAAGCGTATATCTATTTGTAAACTTGTTTGAATTTGCCAAATACAATCGTGTCATACGCAATGTGATACATAATATCATTATTTGTGTTGATACTACTGTATGTGTTTACTTTAGAGATCTTATCGAATCATTTTCTTATTTCGTCATAACTTTCACGACTATTTCTTCTCAAATTATTTCACTATCTGATACTTTAGTCTTTCTAAATACGCAAAGTCCGTGTTACTTAACTGTATTTGTAATGCAGTTAGTTAAGGGACGTCCAAGGGGAAGTGTCAAAGAAACACACATCTGTTATCTTATCAAAGAAATTATTGTTGGAAGCGTATTTATATGCAACATCTATTTTTATCTTGAAAGGACATCTATTTTGGGAATAATGTTGATATAAGCACAACTCTTCGGGTTTTTTGTCAGAAGTTGTATAATTAGGATGATAATTAACTTACTATTGTTATAAGACTCGAACAATCTTGTAGTATTTCATGTCGAATTCGTTTTCTCTCTATATTATTTCTATACAAAAAAAATGTTTTACGGTCGATTTGTGATCCATAGAATTTTCAAAAAAACAAGCAAAATTTTTTATTGAGTAAATAAAAAATTCTAAAGGAAAAAAGAATTTAAAGGAAATTTGTGGTCCACAACGTTATCGCGGTCCCGGGCTGGGAAAGAATTCGTTTGAACTCTTGAGTTCAGATGTTAAGGGGTGATGAAATTACCAACAAAACCACACATTTCCTTACACGAGTTTATTAAACAAATGTTGAATAACTTGCTATTTATATGATAGCGTTTCATATATTTTGTATATACCATAAGGCAACTTTTGGATAACTTTAGTATTAATTCTGTTATTATTTAAATTTAATTTTCAGTTATATTCGTCAGTGCTAGGAAACGTTATGTTATGAAGAAACCGGAGGGTGACATGGTCATCCGTTTCTTGAAGTGTATTGCAGTGAGTAACAAAGTTTTATATATATCGTAATGATAATCTTAATGAATATTCAGTCGGTGATAGTGCAAATCTGCGTAAGTAGCGTTGGAAAATTAAGCATGTCTTCATTAGCATCATATTGACAGAGCTAGTTTAAAACTTATTAATTTTTAAAATTAATAACTTTTAAGGTCACTTTTTCACTATGAGTAATAAATTGAACACATAAATAATTACTCTCTGTGTTTTTTCTATTATTCTGTTGCTGTGCTTTTTTTAACACGATTTCCACATCAACTTTTTACCACATTTATTAACTTACAAATATTCTTATTAGTTGATGAAAAATCAATAGGTATATTTTGTTTTAGTTGGGGATTAAGAATAAAATATTTGGTGGGAAACGTGATTATACACATTGGTTGGATACAACGGAAACGAAATATGACAAGAGGTTTATACGAGAAGTAAAAAAAACTCTTTCGATTCTCATGCTCTTTATGGCATTACCCATGTTTTGGGCTTTGTTAGATCAAATGGTAAGTAATAACAAAAACAGTTTAAACCGTTCGAACGTTTATAGACAATATTTATATATGTATATGTAATATTTGTCTGTTTTCTGGAATATTCAGGGTTCGAGATGGACATTACAGGCGACTAAAATGGATGGTCGCCTTGGATTCATTACAATTAAGCCGGACCAATTGCAAGTTTTCGCTCCGATTTGCATTCTTATTCTTATACCATTATCGCAGAAGGTAATTATTAGGAATATTTTTTTTTAAATAGAATAATGGGTTATAGAAATGACAGTAAATATATTATGTTCGCAGTACATATATCCGTTTTTGACTTCCCGATCAATGCTCACAAATCCACTTCATAAGCTGACGTTAGGCGGAGTCTTGGCAGCACTCGCTTTTGTTGCATCCGGACTAGTAGAAATTTATATAAAGGTAATCTAGGCTATATTTTACGATGAAGGAGTAATACCTTTTCAAGTTAACGTAAATTATTCTACAATATGTTATTATTTATTCAGACAACTTACCCCGTACTGCCTGAACCCGGATTTTCACAACTACGTATATATAACGGCAACCCTTGTTCAATATCAATTCAAAATGATCAGCAAAATATAATGTATACTATTCCATCTCTGTCACATTTCACTAACAAACGAATGAATGTGAAAAATACGACGGAGGTTCGATTAAGATTTGATGGGAGCTGCATCGAAGCCAAAGATGAAATATTTTCTTTGGAAGACAATATGGCTATATCGTTCTTTATTGTATCTGGCAATAATATTGAAAGGTTTAAAGAGAATGTGGATAAAAGTAAATCTGGTTTGCCAATTATAAGGTAAGTAGAACTTCATACTAAAATTGCGCTTTAGTATTTTTGTATGATAATGTTTTAGTTTATTATTATTATTTTTATTATTATTTATTATACTTTTTAATTTATGCTTTATCTTAGATAAAACATAGTACTCACTACAAGTTACTACTAGTTAAGATAAAGATAAGGTTTGACGTCTATTTATCGTAGATGAACGTTAGCATCGTGAATATTCTCCGTATTATTTTTTGAAAATTTACATAAAAATGTAACCGTACAAAAACCTTTATAATGCCAAGATTTTCAACTATCCGTTAACCAAGAGCTGTCATGTGTAATTTTTCGAAATTATCTTTCAACAAATCATAAACAATATTTATCTATTAAACTGGAAGTTGATTAAATTATTTTCTTATAAAATAACCATGTAACTATAACCACAAGTTCTAAGCTTAAGAGTGGGTAGTTCTGAAGGATCTTTGAATTTGAGTGAATGATGTGTTCTGGTCAAGTCATCTCCATGTATAGAAGGATGTTTGATAAATTATTTCAATTTTGTTATAGATTGGTCGGTAACAAAATGACGTGAAGCGATGCTTGACAAGCTCTCAGCGTAGGCCTGTGATATATTGTAGACTCTGAATTGATTTACAATTTAGACAGTACCGATCGTTTTATACATACATTCTTAGTTTCACAAGTGTTATATTAATTTTATAGCTATAATGCTTAAATATAAAATTAAATATGAAAAATCGTGACGTTATGATTTTATATATGAATGAATATAAAATAAAATATTTGTAAACTGTGGTCCTAAGAAGTTTTTAATATCTGCACAAATTCGAATATAAAGTTACGTGAATTAAACTCTACTTAGGCCAAATTTTCCATTAGTAATCCAGCCATAGATACTTTAATTATTTTTTAACTTTGCTTCAAACTTATTTAGGGACCTCATCCAGTGTTAAAATATAACGAAATCCCACCCGCCCGGTCAAACTGTTTTTGAAATAAACTCTAAAAGTCCCGAGGGCGAGCAATAAAATGCTTGTAACATTTTTAGTTTTTTAGTGACAAATACAGATATATTAAACTGAAACGTTTCTATGAGGAAAGTCATTGAAAAAAGTTTTGAATATTTATCTGTGTCTGTTTATAAACTGTTTTAATAAATTTTTCATATTATATTTAATATTATGGCAATGTATAAAAATGCGGTAAAAATATTATGTAATTTCTAGATTCTTATTGACGGATAATGTCCAACCAAAAAACATCACGCTTTTTAATGAGAAGCGAAATGAAGTTGAGGTCTTTTTGGGGCCTGGCGTGAGCTCACAGACGGAAGTGTTCAATGCTGAATATTCTATACGAGATGGTAATACTATAGTTTCAAGTGGCATCGAACTGAACAATGGCGGAGTTTACAATTTGATTATAGACAAAGTTGGTGATAAATATGTAAGTTTTAATAAGTAAAATTTCCTGAAAATGTACGCTTATGACTTTATAGGAGATTTTTTTTATTTATATATATTCTTTAATTGATGTCTAAATAATAATGGGTTTTATTTCAGGAAACAAATGTGATAACAATAACGCAACCCAACTCTATAACAATGGCGTGGTTATTACCGCAGTTTCTAATAATTTCTATAGCCGAGGTTAGTGTGAACTTTGTAATTGCTGTCTTATATTTAGCCATCTGTTAGATATTTTACACACTTAAAAAAGTTATTAACATAAAAAATTATGTAATGGACAATGTGGCAGCAGTTGTTTTGTATATGTTCGGAATACTACTCGTATTTTCTAGTCTTAAAAACTAAATAGGTACTCCCGACGTTTCAGTTACTTTGCAGCAAATATGATCACGGTAGTAGTAATCCGAAAAATAAACGTTTCATTCTAATGAATACTCGCGAACGTCTTAGATCTCATAAGTCCTTTTAGTTCGGTAAAATTGAGAAAATGGAAATGGAACAAGAACAAAAAATTGATTTTTTATGTTATACTAGCTTTCCACCCGCAGCTTCGCCCGCGTGGAGTTCGGTTATATCGCGTTTCCAAGAGAACCTTTCAAAAATCTGGGATAAAAACAATCCTACGGTCTTTCTCAAGGTCAACTCTATCTCTGTACCAAATTTCATTAAAATCAGTTCAGTGGTTTAGGCGTGAAAGCGTAACAGATAGACAGACAGACAGAGTTACTTTCGCATTTATAATATTAGTAGGGATACATGAAATTCCATAGGTTTTGTTTGCGGTGACTGGTAATGAGTTCGCCTTCAAAGAGTCTCCTGAGAGCATGAAAGCAGTGATGTCGGCGGCTTGGCTGTTGACAGAGGCTGCGGGGAACGTTATTATCATTGTTGTTACAAGGGTTTTTGCTAATTATAAACAGGTAAAGTTTAATGAGTTAGCCAACGATCACACGGTTTACTTATTGTTAATTGGTAACCTCATAAATAACGTCAAATATGTACTGTATACGCTTACAAAAGTAAATAGATGAATAATCCTATAACATTACGTTTAGCTTTTGTGACTAGTAATAGATAGAAAACGAATTTGTAATTCGAAGAATAATAGAAAGTGCAGATATTAAAGACAGACAAATTATAATATATGTAGTTTCGTTTTTAATAGATTCTTATACGTTTCAGGAAACTCAATCTTTTATATACACCGGTTTAATGTGTATATCGATACTCATATTCCACGTTATGTCAAGTGGCTACAAGTTTGGTCCCTTAGAGGAACAAGTTGGGAAGAAGGAACGAAGTAACAGCGAAGTGAAGTATCATCAAGTAAAAGAGGCCGAAGAATGTTTTTATCGTTAAACTAATAACTAGTATTAAAAGTATGTTATAACTATATATATGTTTAGCCTAAATCTATCTTTATAATTGACAAAATCTATTTTTCACCACGCAATCCCTAAATTACATAAATTGGAAACAGGCCGTCGGCCATTCGAATTTGTTTTAATTAAACTCGTTTAAATGATACAAAAAATATTTTTGATATAATTCAGTGAAACGACCTGTGAGAGAAATAGTGATTGATTTAGATATTTTCTAAAATATATATACCTATAATTGATAACATTGAATTAAAGAGCATTTCAAATGAAAAGGTTTGAAATGAATTTCTAGCTTTTAAACGTAGAGACATTTTATTAATGCACATACTACAGTTAGATGTTTTTTTTATATTAACATTTTAACACGTCCATAATTTATAATATGTATTGTATTAACAGCATTATCGATGATCTGTGTTACACGAACTTTGCTTAAGTAGAGTTAGAATCACAAGCCCTTGTGGAAATAAAAAGCGTGAACCCATTTTATGTAATATAATATATGGAATATTTTAATATTTTTTTTTTCGGAATTCAGATAATAAAAATAAACATATTCTTATTATTTTTACAAGCTGATTACATACTTAAATTAATTTTTTGTTTCGCTAAAGACTTGGTGGGGCATTTTTTTAATAGTTTTAATTAATTTTAGATCTTTGAATACTTCTGTTACTTGAAGCTATAAACAAAAATAAATAAAATAAACATACAAATACATACTCTAGATTAATTTTTGTTTAGTAAGACAATATATATATATATATATATATATATATATATATATATATATATATATATATATATATATATATATATATATATATCGCATACAGAACACCTGATAAAGACACCTCTTTGAGGTTCATTTTCCGGTAAGCGATCGTAAATTGGACGGAATGATCCGAGATCTTGAAATTCCTTTTAAAAATGTCGGAACACTTTCTCCAAGTGGCAGGCTATTTGTCAATGACAATTGCTCCGCGAGATTTAATTCCGTTTTATAATCAATTTAAACGAATTCCTTTTACTTGATATTTACAAGCATTTGTAGGACTTAAATGTTAATATAATATGTATTTTTGTGTATTTATATATTTGTTGTTATATAAAGAATATTGAGAATGATAGTAAATTAACACACGTACCTAGTATTTTAAATAATTCACATATATTTATTAAGTTATTGTATAGTTAAGATAATTCTCTCCTTAAAATATAATATGTTTGAGTTAAATTATACTTTATGTGTCTTGTATAGTCTGTAAATAAAGTCTGTATAATAGGCCCTTAAATAAAATAGTGAGTTAAATATGTACTAGTTTTAATGTTAATATAAATATATGAAATATCCTATAAATGTATTATGGAGGTAATAATTTAAATTATTTGGGATCATCACTAAGCATCAGAACGTATATTACTAATATGAATATGGTTTTAATTTTATTATAATAGGGCAATGTTCTAGTTACATATTTTTATTAATTTAACATGAATTCATTGCAGAGAGTAAAATTATTCGAGAATACTATCTTCTTTTAGGATGACAAATTTTTGCTATAAAATTTTTTGGACACGATTAAATTTTATTTTCAAATTAATCATATATTTGTTTTTTTCGATCCTATAAATCAGACATATAAGTTTCAACGAATTACACTCTATACTAGTTCAAGCTACTTAAGGCAAGAAAAATAAGATGATTCAACAAATAATAAGTTGTGAAACAATGCAGGCTCCCACTTTAAAGACAGGAAAATACCTTTGTACAAGACTATAACAGACCACATGTTGCAGCTCTCAGAAAAATTTAAGATGAAACATTTATTTCTCATTGTGAATATTCATCGACATATTGTGATTGCTGTTGGTTCTCTGATAAAGTAGTTAAATTGCTAACTATTTTTTATTATATATTAAAAGATCATCAGAACTTTACTCTAGTAAACCTTAGAAGCGTTGTGATCTCCTTGGACCTTATATTCTTTTATCACAGTTCCCTGGAGTTTAAATGGCCGTAACGTATAATTTGCTTCACACGACACAGCGTTATAAAAATTAAATGAACCATTCTCTCCAAGTTATGAGAAAAATGGGTGATTAAGTTGAAAATACTTTTAAGAACATACTTTCGCCTCGTTATGGAGGTCGTCGTAGTAATAGACTGTAAACCGCTAATATTACCGTGACAGTCGTTATTTTTTAAACAATAACATTAATCCAAATGAAAACGACTCACAAAAAAGAAAATTTAATCATATTATTTATCATTCAATATATTTATAATAAATTCCTTATATAAATGTATGTATTTATCAGCAAGAACATTAAAATAACTAATTTATTTTTCGTAATAATATAATTTAATCAATTACTTCAATGCTTCAGATAAATTCTTTTATATGTATGTTTGTATTAGTGGATAGAATCGCAGTTGTTAAGGTAATGCACATATTGCTGCCTTATTCATAGCTACAAAAGTTTTAATATACTAAATGCAAAATTATATAAACATAAACCCTTTAAGGACGTTAAAGTAATAACTATTCAAAGTATAAATAGTTTTTATTATTATCATTAAGAGTTATGTATAGCAGTATGATCTCGTAATTTGCATCATTAAAGAATCAGATTGACCGTTATGGTTGTATCATTAGTCCCAATTCATCTTCAATTTAACAATGTAATAGCTTATACAGGTTTACCTAAAAATCTGCTAGATTTCATTACGTATTTTATATGAATCATATTTAGATTTTCACATTTTCTTTAACTTTTTATTGTTACACTTAAAAGCAGCTTGATGATTATTAAGATTATTATACAGGGTGACTGGTGAATTACTATCGATACTTGAGGACGTGATATTTGACGATCATATATGACAAAATAAAAATTAATATAACATAAATATTAATAAACTTCTAAGTAAAGTTAACCAAAAGTTATGTAATTAATTACGCATCGTGTGAACACCCTACAGATTAGGTATACACACACACACACACACAACAATGTGTGCTGATACAACACCACGCCGCCGCACGCGTCCACACTTGGAACACTTGGAACGTACACTTTATTTATTTATACGGAAATTTGGTCAAAAATTAAGTACCTATTTTTTTATATAATTCGAATGAAAATCATGTACCGAGTATTCTCTGTAAATATTGATAGTAATTCACCAGTCACCCTGTATACTCTTACATTATGTCTGCTCTTAGGACATAACTTTTCACTTTTTTAAGAACTATCAAGCAGTCAGATTAAAAAATAAATGGAAGAGGTCCAATTTTGTAATTCAGAATAGCATATCATATAAAGCTTGTTAGTTTCTTTACAACTCAAAGGACTGTTTAATTTCACAAATTATTAATAACCCGAATGAAATGAAGTTAATGATAAACTTCTTCCTCGTGCACATAGCAAAGGATTGGAATAGTTTGAATGGTTCTGTGTTTTCGCTTCAAATTATAATATATGGGCGTCTTCAAGAAAAGTTTGAAAAGGCTGTTACTGAGATAGTGCTTTGACTGCCTTCTAATTCATTTCCACCTTTTTATGATCAAAATAATGAGTCAAGGACTATCTAGTATATATTAATATAAATAAATAAAATGAATACAAAACACTGGCACAAACTATTAAAACTATCATATATATGAAATATATCATATATCTTCGTTTATTGAATTTATTGAATTAAAAAAATGTTACTAACATTAAAATACAATTATATTATAAGTCATTATCGTCATAAAGGTATATTGAAGCGATAACAAAAAATTCTCATAAGATTATTTATCATTATTCCTTGATGGTTAATATAAATAAAAAAATCTTAAACTTAACAAAATAGGGACAATGACCTTAATAGACATTCGGAGAGAGTTTGTTATTGTAACAAGTTAAAACATAACATCCTCATTATAAATAATGATCAGTATTTTATATGAAAAACATTATCTAAAGAAAATATATATAATTTTTTATATCTCCTTCCTAATAGTTGGCGGTAAAATATTCATTACGAAAACAGCCAGCTCATACGACCTGAATTAATTTAACCTCAACAACAAGGAATGTGTTCAAATATGACATTTGATAGAGAGAAATGGCATTTACATGTATGAATGTACTTAACTGAAACCGAAAATAAATGAGGAAAGGTCAATGGACTGACATTTACAGATGATAGATCAATTGAATTATGATTGTTGTTGAATCTGAATAAATAATATTTGGATTTACAGCACTATGTTTGTAGAATCTCTCGACCTTTTCCAATGCAAAGTTATTTGTCATATTAAACGTTGAAAACAATTTCAATTCACGTGGTCCAAGCATACGTTAAAAGACGGAAATTACTACATGTAGAAAAAAATATCATTATTATTTATCGTTGTACATATATGCATAAATAAATAATAAAAATAACAGATATAAAATGTATATAATAAAATAATCAGTTAAGTACATATTATTGCGAAACAATCAATTCGTTCAGATTGGATATTTTAAAACTCGTAGAATCAGGAAATCCCTTTTCAAAATTTTAAAATTTAAAATCTCTGCAAAAAGGTTAATAAGTATATACATTGATGTAAAGACATAAAATCTTTTTAAAGGTCAACTTTAATACTATTTTAATCTCGTCCATTGCGTTACTGATAGAACTAGTTTGATTATTACAATATGTTTATTTTTAAAACTCTATACATATTGAACAGCTTACAATGTTGCTGATGAAATTAAGTTTACTCATTCTGCGTGTAAAGGACGTGACGTGATAACGTCTTTAAAATCGTTTTAGTCGGATGACATGTTCAGAAACTTGTGTCACACCAAAACCTCACGAGCGCGATCGCACGTATAACGAGAGAGAGACGGACCGATCTCCCGTCTCATCTCGAGCGCTGCCAGTCATTCCGTGAAACTTGTCACGCGGAATCCTCACGAGCAGAGGCAGGC